AAAGTGGTCCAGATTTTTACAAAGAAAAAACAAAATACACAAAGTCGGTCGACCACAAAGATTTTTATTATAAATCTTCTCAGAATGTTGATTTCATCCATCAAGCAGGTACCTAAAGGGAGGAAGAGCCTTGAAATAATGACACTGAATCGTTGGAAGTACCTAGTGGAAAACGTTTTCCCCCTCCTGGAAATCGATTGAGAAGTTTTCTGGCGATCAAAGCGTGTAGGAGAGGTTGTCATCACCATGTCAAGTTGCTTTTAGAGGCAAGATCAAACCACTGGAATCGTTAGAAAAACCGGACTTTCAGATCGTCTTTCTCACTTTGAGATAGATTTTTAGAAGATAATTCCAAGGAAAATGAGATAGTCTGAAGAAATATACAGGATGTCGTTTGAATAAAAATAGTTGCTGCCGAGACATACCATGCAACAGACAGAATTCATCACAATTGCAGTAGATCAACGAGTATCAGGATGTGATTTCATTTGCGGTGAACGTCCTCACAAATGACTTATATTGAATATTTGTCGAAATTCAAAAGAATGGCAGATGTGAGTCACATGGATATGTTATGTCTTGCCTCATAAAAAACGTGAATTTTTTATATAGAATTCCATCACAGTCACAATGTTCCAGTTTCAATAAGACTTTTCATCAATAAAGCCAGTTCAAATCACATCACTCTCACGTTTGATTGGATTTAATATTGAAGTGAACATGAAAAGAATGAAAATTCAATAACACAAGAATTCTTGACAAGCATTTGGACCCCCTGTATATAAGAATAGGTTGATCATGCATCATTTCAAGATTTTTGACCACCGTTCGAACCAGATTGACAGGCACGATGCCACATCGTTGATGGTCGAATCAAAGATCTACAGTGTTTTTAGTTAGACCTATGGCCGACTTAACGCCAACAAGGGTGAAGCAGTTAAGTATATACCTACATTCATTGCGAAGGTATTCATGTTTCAATGCTTTCTCAATGGGGAATCCAATGGTCCAATTATTGGGATTTTCCTTCGTGCGCACCAGGCGATAAAAAAAATAGACGCGTGTCTATACGCTAGTCACTGTTAATTCTTATTGAGTTATTTCATAAAAAACTAAACAAATGAGTAATAGTTCTACCTACCATCAGAATACAATTGAATTTAATTGAAGTCAGCTATATACAAATGTATCAAAGCGTGATAAGAATTTATTTATTCGCAAGGTTATTACATTTACTTACACTGTGTACTAACTCAGGCAGATGTAAGAAGAAGCGTTGAAAAACACGGTTCTGAATTGTTATAGGTTTTTCGATTTTTCTCTCCTCGTGCTTATACCCAAAGGAAAATATTCGAGGTAATTCAATATACCTTTGATAGTCTGAGCTCTGAGATCAAGAGACCAATCAAATGATTTGCTTGAAAATGTCATTGCATTAAAATTTCATTATTAGCAATTCAATCTTCATATATGACGCAGTGACACCTTGTTTGAAAAATGTTTGAGAACGAAGAATTCGTAGCAGTGTTGCCAACTCAGATTTTCAAAAGTCACATAATGGCTTCCTGAAAAACACCAAAAATCCACCAAACCTGACGGAATGGAAGAAAAATGCAAATCTAGTGATTTTCTGATGGCGGTTTGAACTTCAGTTTAGATCACTAGATCGCACCAGATAATGGAAGTCTAGACGGTCAACGGATCTTGATGGCTCACGATATATAAATGAATGTGAAAAAATGTATGATGAACAATTTGAAATTCAATGATAATTCTAAAATTGTTGTTCTGTTTAATCCATCATTCGGTTCCCCCCTTACGAGCAACCCTCAGAAGTCTTCGAGAGTCTTGTGCGAGCAAGGAATCACGGGGGCCTTACCTTTTAACGTGTGATCCCAAACACTTTCTTGGGCCATCAAAAAAATGTCTGCAGTCGACGGGAATCGAACCCACGACCGGCAAGCGAATGCGGATTAGAATATGGACACTGTCCGCACGGCTACTAATAATAATAATAATGCTTCCGTTTTCAATATGAAAATGAAAACATCATTCTTTTCAAATTCTTTTTGGTTCCCTCTATCGACACTTCCCAGTGACTGAGGTTGATACAAAAAAATTTGTCACATGATAGTTCTATCAAGTAATCTTGAATTTACCATTTTCACATTCAGATGACAGAAGTGAACATCATGTTATATTATTACTGAATTGCAAGCAGTGTAATTGTCTCCGATCGGAAGAAAGCAAACAAATTCTGTTATATTCCTGTTTTTGAGTATATAATTTCTCTAATATCAGTCAAAATATGACACTTCTGGTTTGACCGGAAGATCATCAAATTGTTTTATTTCATATACAAAATGTGATTGATTTTGAGAGTTACGATTTAGTATAAAATTACCTTCCTAACGATATATCACAATCGTACATTCAACCCACAAACTGTCCTCATATATAATTGCGAATTTATTAAAAGTATACTTTTTTTCTCTCTTTTTGTATTCCTCTCGTAACCTGTGTAGGAGAATTATGAAATTGAACATGTTGTTGCGTCAGATTTTGCAGTTCTGATAATAATTCTAGACCCATATAAAAAATTCGATAATATCATAGCCAACTAAAATGAACTTGAAAGGTTCAATTCAATATAGCATGATGGAGATTATCTTCATGAAAACTGAATTGAAAACAGAAATTTGAAGTGTTTTCCTGTTTTGTATTTCAATATGTTTTGGAGTCCCTGACCAACTTCAGAAATTGTTATAATATCATTTGAAAAAAATATGTTTTTCCACCACTAGCTATAAAACGTACCATTATTTGCTCCTATTGGAGGCCTAAAGTGTGTTTTTACTACCTAGGTAGTTTTCGTCATTTCATGAACCACCAGTCAATAAAGACATAGCCATCAACTCTGTGATATTTAACCCGATTTGTTCTGATGCGATATTCACAAGAATTGCATTCGAATTCAGTAGGTATTCATCAATAGCGACTTGTCATATGCTGTCATGGTGACTAGATTTTAATTGGAATTGAAAAGAAGTGCTTTTAAATAGGCCCACATTCCAGTTTCACAGAACTATAATGATTGAAATATATTGCTAGAGATAAAAAAAAAAACAATATTCACCTTGGTAGTACATAATATTATTACCACAAGACCTTATACCCATCGGCTGAAGCCTCGGGATATAATCTTGGTCCCTGAGTAATAATGATATTCTTCACTACCTTGGTATGTAACTAACTATTATTGGTGTTGAAAAATTAGGAAAAACTGAAATAATAAAAATAGGCATGTGCATAAAAATCATTGTGTAGAAACTTGTGCATTGAAATATTGTTTCTCACATACTATTGTTCCAAAGCAAGCTTTCATGAAAATATTTCGTTACGAGGGAAATACCAAGATATATTTTTTTATAAAATCGCAATTTTATGAGTAGATTGTGAATGTTTTGAAAACAAATATACTTCGTATTTGAAATGAAAAATTGGATGTACTTCCGGTCAGCCCTAAAGTGTCATATTTGGTCTGATACTATAGCGAAATTGTACACTCATGAAATCGAATCGGATATAATGGATCTGAAACATCCATTCAAAAGAGCATCGAAGATACAGGGGGTAAATTGGATCCGGATCACCTGGTATAGGTATATGAAAATGATGCTAATTTGCATATTTTCATTCTTAGAGACAAGGGGTAAAATCACAAAAATCAAGAGGAATGACTATTTCGTAAAAATCATTCATTGTGAAATCACGAGCCGATTATTCTTGCTAAGATATTTTTTGCAGCGAAGAGGAACTGAAAAAATAATAGTTATTTATATACCAAGGACAAAAAACTGCCTGCCGAGGCTAGCAATCAGACGAGACAATGGGTAGTCTTCGCATTCCACATTTTTTCGTCGACCTCAAACACTTATATCCACATCACGATGCAATTCACACAGGAAATCTATCGGATTTCGTGAATAATCAATTTGACACTTGCAAATTACAGTTGTTGTCAACTTACTCTCCGCGCGGACCAGGGTTGTCAGATTGATCAAAAATCCATCAATGAATACCTTGTCAAAAATTCAGATCTATTTTATGCTATACGAATTCCAAGGAAGGATAATGGAATAAACCCGACGTCAAAACATTATTTACTTGTAGTGAACAGAAAAGTAACCTATTTTCAACAAAACAGAAAAAAACAAAACGAATACGGTATTAAAAAAAATAATTAAGTATATTAATAATTCTCAATTTAAAAATACTCACGAATATCTTGTAGATACTTAGGAAATTTGAGAAAATAAAAAAACAGAAACGAATAGTACAATTGGCCAACAAAAATACAATACAAATAAAATAAGTGAACGTGAGAAAAGAACTGTTATAACAGGGGTATATATAAAAGTGATTTCGATCGTAATCAGATAACGTATTGTTCTTTTGTGGTTTAAACATATCATTATTACCTATAATGTATAAATGTATTGATATAAGTGTTTATGATTAACTGGAGATTTATAATGATATAGGTAGTTTATAATAATAATACCTGAGTGTCAGAATATTATTCAGTGGGCTATGAAATGTTTCGGTAGCTCAATATGCAAATCTGGAGATCTACTGAAAATTCAGTTGAACTGGCAGCCCCACAGCGTACGAGAAGTGTTTACGGATGGAAAGTTAGTGTCTGCGGACGAAAAGTAAAATGTTACCTATTTTTTGTAGGGGTAGAAAAAATTAATTTATGGCAGTCTAAATATCCAAACGCCAGTTTCAATCTTCTTCTGAAACTAATAACAGCGCGAAATACATCTAGAGTAGTTGAAGAATTGGTCTGGTTGGTGGTGAGGAATTGGAACCATAAAAACAATAATCCAAGATACTGAATTTGGCACTCCGGAGAATCAACCGAAAAAGATTCAACTGTTTGTTGAATAATTTCCTCGACTCGAAATATGTGAAAAAAAGAACATTAGGTTACTCACCATCCATGTTCCTAGGCCAATAGCTGGCATTTTCTTTCCACCGGCCATGTCCATGGATGGTATTTTTGCTACCATGATTGACCACGTTTAACCAATTTAACTAACCAAGTAACTAGTTCCGTACCTACGCGTTCGTTTACATTCACGATCAAGGCTCGTTGTTGAATGAGATGAGAATGAAAGTTGACTTTCAAACCGGAACACGACCGTTATATTAGCTGCATTGGATTGGAGCAAAATTATGTTCGTTGTCATGGTGAAGACAATTGTGACAATGGCTGGAGAAAAATATTTGAAAAATAGGTATCATTTTATAAATGAGTTCGAGTAGAAATAACGGAGCGATTGTTAGAAATATACAGGGTGGGTCATGAGGAACTGTACATACTCCTACCACGAATAGAGGCCCCTGAGGGAAATACCTAATGTCCATCAGAAAGTATCTTCTTCACTTCTCTTCCAATATATAGGGCGAATTATGACATTTGGCAAAACCATCTCTCGGTCAGCTTCGAACAGCTTCTTCGATAACTGTGACAGGGAATTTTCAAAGGTCACAAACTAAGATCAGAAATAAAATGTTTACAATTTTCCTCACACTTTCACTTCTGTTTGAAAAAAATTTGGCGAAAAATGTATTTTTCTACTCACATAGGTAACTGAAATGGCATTCAGTGTACGGATATGTACCACGCTAAATGATCGATTAATCACGGATTGTCGATCTGTGATTTATTCAAAATATTAAACACGTCATCATGACAACACGATTTCTCAAACACATTAGGTACCATGGCAACACAGTTCATTAAACACAGCTTCAGTAATTTGAGACATATTTGGTCTGTCAATTGTATTAATTGTCAACTGTTATTTTCAAATTTTGTATCAGATACGAAATGTAGACGAAAGTGAAATCGAAGAGAATGTTCTGGTACTTGCATATCTCCAAGAAGGGTAAAAATGAAGCGTCCATCTCTGAGAACACTTTATTCTGCGCTTAGCATGACAATAAACGTGAAACAAAGGTTAGTGAGCAATGGACTGGACACATCTACAACCAATATCACTTATACGTGTCTCGCTGGTTGCATGCAGTTGCATGTATTATGTTCTCAATTCCCATTCCTTTCGAATCATTTCGTAGGTTAGCAGGAATAGCAGGTATGTTAATGTTATTTTCGGAGTTCGTAGAAAAAGCATAGTATGTAACGCGTTCATAAACTCCTCGTTTATTATACACTCGCTCCGCTCTGCTCCGCTCTGCTCCGCTCTGCTTCGCTCGTGATTAAAAAAAATCATTACTTAAAAGACGTTTATAACACTTGTTTCTTTTATCGCTTGAAGCGCACGAAAGGAAATCCCTATAATGTTCAAAGAACATCGTGCGTTCCTAGGGATATACTATTATGCTTCAGCTGGATGGAAATCAACATATTATTTAATTTTTTTGTGGAGGATAATAATCACCCTGTAGATCTTTTTCGAATCAGTGGATGGGGTATCTGTGAAAATGTTGATGGTCATCGCTATAGATAATGTTTCAATTCAATAATATTTCAGTTCACAGTATTATCTATTCGATTTGCTTTATTCAGTCAATTTGGTACCTACATAACTTATTTCGCGTACTAGAATTATTATCCGCCTTTTGTCAGTATAGATTTTGAAAAATAATTGTGAATGAACCTTCATTTTCTGTTCGACTATCTTGAAGTATTTGAATCGATGACCATAAACAGATACCCCATCCACTGATTCGGGAAAGATCTACAGGATGATTATTACTCTTCACATAAAATAAAGTGACGAAATCCAGGCCTGGAAATGAGAGAACATGTCGATTTCCATTGGGCTAAAGCATTGAAAATGTGAGTCTTACTTTTATTTGTGCCATTTATGCAAACATTGATACATGAGCTATCATCATTTTTTTAATGGCCCCCCTAAGGAGCACCTTACTCACATGTTTTCTCAAAAAACCTTGCGGAATTGGTAGGAATTGTTGTTCTTCTCAACCACGCACACATTATATGGGAAAATGTCTTTTGGGGAAAATGGCTGCATTTTTGATATGTTGTAGCTGAAGTCATTCTGAGCAGAAGACTCTTTTGGCTCAACTCGATCGTATGACCATATTCGGCGCTGAAGGCTGAAACGACAAGAATTTCGTCAATTTTCCAGATTGCGGAGCTCAATGAATAATAAGAAAATCTCATGATATGGATTCACCCCAAAATGAAGATTAGATATGCGGTAGGGAGTTGTTGAGATTGGTTGAAGATAAGTATGTTACAAGGGCACAGAGAAGATCGAATAGCCTTTTTACAGGGTGGTCTTCAGAGAATGCGAACGCATTCTCATTCTCCGAAAACCACCCTGTAAAAAGGCTATTGCATCTTTTCTGTGTCTGTGTGTAAGAACATCTCAATTTTCTCAAATTCGATCTATCTCATGAATATTCACGAAGAACAGTTTCAAACATTTTTTCCTAGCCTTGCGAAGCACTTTACTCTTGTGTTTTTTCCATAAAATCTTGCAGAATGGGTATTTTTGAGAATCAAATGATCTGAATTTTCTCAAAAATCGATTCATTTCATGAAAATACACAATGGAATGTTTTCAAAATTTTTCATTTTTCATTGGTGGCCGACTCAACGCTATAATATTGGCGAAGCAGTACTTCTATTTATTGCTTATTCATTGTTGGCCAGTGATGACTGCAGAGTGCACACGTATTTTCAGACCATTTTCAATGAAAATCGAGTAGTTAATTCCTGAACAGAGATTTTATAGGCTATGTAGGAAAAATACTATTTCACTAATAATAATAATGATATTTATAACAATTACAACAATGAAATTTGGAATTGGCTCGGCCATCATTTCATGATAATACTAATATATAGTACAAAAAAAATTCTCGTATTCAGTTTTATCATCATCTGATTCGCTTAATCAGCCACGGGTTATAACGAATTCCGTTTCTCTTGATTGATATAATTGTTATTTCTCGAATCTGGAAAATGACCAAAACTCGAGAACTCCTCTTTCCTTTGGTGTCTGGAATGGAACTATCCGTGAATTTCCAGTTACCTATAAAACATAACAGCATAATACTCTACTAATAATAACTACAACTCGAACACCTGTTTCAAGAGCTCCAGAAATCAATCAAATTTGCCCGTTATTTTTGACGAAAAAAAGTCGGATTTTTCCAGTGTTGTTGTGAATAAAGTGTTCTACCATAGCAGCCATATAGTGGTGAGCTGTATATGATTTAATTCCTTATAGAATGTGATAATAGCTCTTAAATATACTGTGAATGGAATGGTAGAAAAAATCCCTAGCGTAGCTGGAGATAAGGAGTGTCCAGTTGAAAAAAAAAAAAAACTGGTGCTAGCATAACAAATATCTAATCTTATCTACGCTGGTTCACACAAATAGTACGGGTGATTGAAACATTCTTGATAAAACTTTCTCATAATGACTGACATTCCTGAAGATTTATCTCTGACAGACATATATTAACTACTGTTCAGTCTCAATCAGAAAGTCGACCAAAATCAAGAAACTCTCTCAGATATTAAACGTGAACTTCGAGACTCCTAGAGTGAAATATATCGTCACTTGAAGAAGAAAACTTACAACTGAAAAATAAATTGGTTAATCTGGATCGAAATTCTGGTAGGAACAATATCGTTGTTTTTGGCCTTGAATGACGAGACTCTCAAGCATCTCAGCAGCTCCCTAGAAATCGACCTCGACTATTCAAAACTCAATAACTTCCATTTCTTTCCAACTAAGAATAAGGAAAGTATTTCAAAAATTGAACTGCTTTCGTTTATCGAGATACAACGGAACTCATTCAAACTCAAGGACAATAATTTATTTGTTGCAAACGGTATGAATCCTGTTGATCAGGCTGTCCGCAAAGAATTGAGGGGACATCTAAATACAGCCAAACGAAACGGAATCAAAGCTTCTTCCTATCATCTTCCTATGATATCAATAGTTTACAGATACTTTGAAAAGTGAGAGTATTAACATACAGTTTTATTTCAACAATTTTTCAGGAAACTTTCGAGGCATCTGTCACCCAAGAAACTTCTATCTTTGGAAACATTATAAACAAATTAATAAAGCTAGTCAGCCCAGGGTATCTATGGGAAGCGAATACTTTTTTTATTTCTTGGAGTGCACGAAAGGAAATTCCTATAATTTTCGTGAAACATCCCGCGTTCCTATGGGGGACAGGGAGAAGAGGTAGGTGTCCTGACCAGAACTTCTTGGTGCGTCGGATGGTAAAGTATCCTTCACTCGTGAATAGTTTGTATCCCAAAGGATCCTTTTTTTCTTACAATACAAGTATATCTTGAAGATACATGTGGGCGTACTTCATAAAAAAAGTGGCAGCATTTTTTTGGATGGTATCGAGATGGAGATCCCACTTTCCCATCCGTTCTGCCTCAATGAATTGTTTAACCAAAGTAACCATTCGTTTATATTGCACCCAAAGCTTTGCTGTTGGACCATCATGTTCGAGAGTATAAAATGCATCAGTGAATTTTGTTCGAAGAGCTTGAAATTGCTCGTGTTCTTGTTATTTTGAAATAGTGGATAGGTCGAAACTGGAGATCACATCATCGAAAGTTCAATTAGCTGTATCTCGGAAAGTATTATGTCTACAGAAACCATTCTCGTCTCATTTCATTGCAAATTCAGTTTACTTCAATACAATACATAGTCACTTTTGACGTAAACTGGGTCCAAAGGTGTCAAAATTGATGAAAACTGAAAAAAATCCGAAAATGTTGCGGTTTTCCTAGTACTTCCAAATGATCCGGTGGTCTCTCGAGGTTGAAAACTTACACTTATCATTAGCAATCCATCACATACAACATATCAAAAAATCAGAACTACTTTATTCTATGCAAGGTAACCCCCCTTATTTGCGACGATTTTACTGAATTAAATATAAGGTACTCCCTGCCTAGCAGAAACCACTTATCTACACACTACAGTCTACACAGTACTAAACGAGAACACCGCATCTGCGTATGTGGCGCGTGCAGGTAGGTGAGTTTCAATATCTTACAGTATGTAAAATATTAATGTATAACTCTCAGCAAAATTATCGCATCTGCTTCTCAATATTGAAAAACATAATTTTTCGAAGTGTTAACCGGTTTGATCGATTTCAGAACGTTATTTACATATCAAAAAACTGATCCGACTAAAAATGATACTCAAGTAAACGACAGCAATCAAATTTCACCGTTTGATGCATTTACTGCATTTTATCTTCTTTGTAGATACGGGAGTTCTGATTGAGACGACAGTGTAGTCATGTAAAGTTTGTGCAATGGAGTGTACCAAAATGATTTTTTTGAAATATGATCCTGGGTTGTATATATTCCTATCAACCCCCCTCCTTATCCACACCCTTGTGTAAGGGGTTGATTCTCGGAACGAATAATTATTCTTCCCGATTCGTACTGGCCAAAGAGCTCTTTACACGTGGCTTCATTTTTGAAGGTACAAGTTTGGTACATGATGGAAATTTAATTTTTGATGGCAGGTATTCAAATTATGCAGTAATAACCCATTTATCTAATAATTATCCATACTGGCACTATACTATATATACCACCGAATTTCATGGAATTCATTACTAATAATTGATGAATTTATCAGGAAGTATTTTCGTGGATGAGTAATGCAAGAGGTATATTATTATCATGTGACTAGGGCCTGGTTTTGCATTTATGATTATGTCAATTATAGAGAACTGAATACTGTCAGTAGGTTAATCGAGAAGGTGGTATATTAATTCTTCTAGCTCATTTGGGATTTTTTCTCCTCGTTCCTGCAAAATGAAAAAAATCAGTATTATCTAGGTATACTAATATCATGAAGAGGAAAGATTTGTTCGTTTGTTTGTTTGTGTGTTTGTATTGAATGGGCTCGAAAACTACTGGACCGATTTGTGTGAGTACACCCTCTCAAAAAAGAGTAATATCTTCGAGAATATTTCTATTACGCAACAGACTTTTAGAATTTTTTTCATGTTCTGGTTCCTACGAAAACGGATATCCTGTAATGTTCAGAGAACATCGTGGGAAATAAGGTGAAAATTGGTGTTTAGGTTATATGACTCGGGGAACACCTCCCTTGGCAGTGTGTTCCAGAACCTCGCTGTTCGTTGGATGAACGAGTCTTTGAAAAGAGCTGTTTTACATGTCTCCAAAGTGACCACGAGGGGGTGCGAAGCCTCAACTTGAAGGGATGATTTCGCAGGGACTGCCTATAGGAAGGAACAATTGTTGATATTTCAGAAGAGCATCGACCATAAAAATATCTATAGAATAGAGCCAGATCGCCAATTTTTTTACGGTGTTCCAGAGAAGTGAGTGAGTTTGTGAGCGAGGCATCACCCACGAGACGACTTGCCTTTTTTGGACAGAATTCAACAGTTTCAGGATATGTTTAGGTGAGCAGCTAACTGGAAGTGAAATAGCTCCTGGCCAGAAACAGAAAACCAAGTTTTTGGGATGCACTCTTAGCAAATGATATCACGTGATTTTCCCAAGGAAGCTTATTGCTGATAGTATGTATGTATATATAGTATGTAGTAGTATGGTTACCTGACAAGCTTATGTTGGGCACAGTGAGGTCAGCTTTTCTAGAGAAAAGGCATGCTTGTGTTTTGTTTGCATTGGAATCTACCAAGTTATTGGCTCGATGTTGATAGCTTTCTCCACGATCTCAGAAATAATAGATAGCAGTGCGATCGGTCTGTAGTTGCTAGGTAGGGTCTTTTTGCCTTTTTCAGGAACTGGTTGTACTCATGCAATTCTCCAGTTGGACGAGGATATCTCCAATTTGTAAGAGTAGTTGAACATCTTGCAGTAAACAGGTGTTAGTTCGTGAACACATTTCTTGAGAACAGTCGATGGGATTCCGTCGGATCCACAAGCTTTGTTGTTGTTGAGACCCAATAAAATCTTCCTTATAGTACGTTGGCGATAGGTGATCTTGGGCATACTGATTGAACAATTTTTTGTCCCTTCATTTTCTCTTGGAGCGCACGAAAGGAAATTCCTATAATGTTCGTGAAACATCGTGCGTACCTAGGGAGGATAGGGAGAGAAGGTAGGTGTTGGAATTTGTTTCGAACTCTCGAGGTTAGAAGTATAGACCAACGAGTTTAGGCAGATATTTGCATCAGTATATGTATATTGAAGTGCCTGTTGATTACTTTTGAGTGTATATTCATTCCTCCGATGATTGTGCATGGAAGGTTCTTTCCGCAATACTTTCTCCAACCAAAGATTAAGTTAAGCCTACACCTTTACCGGAGGCAGATTTTCCATAAGGCACATAGTAGGCCAGGGCCTCGAGCGGCCAAATTTTGTGGGCGACCAATCATGACGAAAAATTCATTGATGATTATAGAAATAGCTCATAGTATCTAAATATAAAGAATGAATAACAAATCGAAATCTCTACTGTCGACATGCGGAGTCCGTAGCTATGTTGGTGTTTATAGAATTTGTGGAATCACAACTTTTCCGGTAATAATTTAAACACTGTCAGGAGAACTCAAGAAATGACGGAATGCTTATTGCTTATACATAGCTTCATAATGATTCAAATTTCATTACTAACCTGACGATACTCAGCGAGTCAGAAGTCGAAGAAAAGGCTAAAGATTTATAATTGGTTCATTCTACTGACGAGAACAATTTTTCAAAATGTCTCCATTTTTGTGCTCAGTACCGTATGAAAAATGAAGACCTGTTGTGGTTCGTTCTTGTCTATTATCCTTTATCAATGAAACACAAGTTGCCAAATAGGTTTTCGCTATATTTATTATTCGACTCCGACTGATATGTTGTAATATATACAGCTAGAAAACAACCCGATTCCGTTTATGCCTATATACGATAGCTCCTTACTGGTACTGGTACTGGTGGGGGACGATTGCACGTCAGCAACTAGTCCCTGATGGAACCTTTTTGCAAACCCCAAGGTGTTTTCAATTACTGATGTGGTTCGCTGAAGAGAGCTGGCTAACATCCGATTCAAGCACCGCCCATCAGCTCTCTTTCAGAGTTTTTCGGCTGTGTTTGGTGGGCTAGTAATGTACTCATTACCATATGCTGCAGTGGCAGGTCTGCTAGCTATCCACGTTAACCCCCGTTAGAAACCGAGGTCCACTAAGCAGCTGGCCCGCTCTCATGCACGCTCAGCTGGTAGTTTTTCCGCACCCACCTACATACACCGTCCTACTTCTTCTCTGATGATCACAACCACATCATCATCTCTTTCTGCGTGTGTGTAGGCTTTGTTACTAACTCCATGCGCCACTTTTGGAGCAGCACTGTTAATTGGAACGCAACAGCGAATCGTGCAGGACTATCCCCAGCCGATGCTCCGAAACTTTACAATATTCAATTCGTAAATAAAATATTGGAAAAAGTTCCTTGCTGGTGCTGGGAATTGAACCCACGACCTTGCGGTCGTGAAACGGACGCTCTTTCACTGCGCCAATCCCGGCACGATAGCACCTTAAAAACAGTGACTAAAAAAAAAAAATCGAAAAGGCACCAGAGCCCAGAAGGAACGCTTGCACTTAGCCAATAAGAAAAACATATCTAATTTATGCCCATATCTGGGGTTTCAGACACACTTGAAATATTTATTGACGAGACACTTTTAGGCTAATCATAGGTGACAAACACCAGCATGCCCATATATGGCACAAATTCAGAGAAATGACCCTTATTTGACTTTCCTACATAAAAAACGCGCTTAGTTTGATTGAAAAAAAGTCGAAAACCATCTTAAAAATTTATTTCAAATAGGTATGCAATCATCTCTGAAACCTAGTTAGCCGTTATATATAGTTAACTAAGTTCCTGAATTTTTTCGTTGAATGTTGGCAATGAGAAACTTTCATGGGCGGCCAAGACTGCAAATCCGCCACTGCCTACTACTCTTTCGGGAAAGGCCAATCTGGATGATCTTGTAACCTGGAAATATTAATGGAAAATGTGAATTACTTCCTTCAATTATTCGAAGCTGTATATTTTGAGTTTGAGACTTGGAATTATATTGACGTTTTCTTCGACGATGAAACTTACTTTGGAATTACTTTCCAGTCACAGATACGGGCCTTTTCACCAATTTCGAGCCCTTGCAAACTGGCCATATCTTTGGCATCTAGACTGAAGTCGAAAATATTGATATTCTCCTTTATTCTGGAAGGAGTGACGCTTTTTGGAATGGCAACAATGTTGTTTTGTACGAGGAATCTCAACATAACTTGTCCACTGGATTTACCGTGTTTCTCAGCAATGCTTTTGATGAGTGGATTCTGCAGTAAGTTAGGCAATTCTCTTGCTCTGAAACCACCAAAATATCTAGTTATTATAAAATATAAACTGTCTTAATACTGGCTTATTATGATTAGACATCAAGCTGATCAAGCAAACTCGATTCAATGATGACCCAGTGATTCAAATTGCGATCTACATAAAATGATAAAGAATTTCGAACAAACATATTATATATGGAAGATTCACTCAGGATGCATTCCTTCAACATACTTTTTTTCTACAATGAACAGTTGATAAGTCTTCCATAGTTCTTCCATTTCGTTTTTGTTTCTGTTTTTTTTTGTGATGATTCGTTATTTGTCATGGTGAGATATGAAGTGAACAAATGGATAGATATAGAAGTTGTTATAAGAACATTGTTCAATCAAATATCTATCCAAGATAACGAATTGGGTTGAACGAACTGGATTTTTTTTCACAACCAGACTTGATTTATCGCTGAAATACTTAGAGTCTTCACTGACACTTAAGTTTGTTGCAGTATGCTGAGTAAAATACAATAATTATTGTTATTTAGAGGAAATAAAGTTCTCAAATAACCAATTTCAGTTACCATTCATCAAACAAACTATACAATAACAAGGATCAGAAACAGAATTCAGGAATTCTTGGCTTATTATAACCGAATCAGAGGTGAAAACCTGAATACGAGGAGTATAGCTCAGTTTCAAATATCATTATTATTAGTTCCTAAATTGTGTTTAAACACATTTATGATTCAGTTAGCCATCACTGGGCCAACAATGAAATTGCGATAAGTGGAAGTACTGCTTCGCCAATATTGCAGTTGAGTCGACTTTTCGCGTTTTTTTGATTTTCCATTGAAAAATGACATTATTGTATCTATCCAAGAAGACCAATTATAGTCACAAGAACAAAAACAAAGATTTTCTTTCGGCAGACAAGAGACGTGGTAAATAGATAACTACTAAAGCTATTCATGATTCAGATCGCCAAGTGATAGATTGCTGCTCGACATCTTCCTTCAAAGAGCATTAGTAACACTTTTTTTCATCGATCGTACCAGAACTCTTGAATCAAGAACTTTGGATTCTTCAGGAGTCCTTATATTTGATGTTTTGGTCAGAAATGCAATCAGTTTGAGTGAATTCTGATTCTATTGTATTCTCGATTCATTAAATATTGAATTCGCTAAGTTAGTGGAGGCATATATGGCCAGAGAGATTATATGGCCCGAATGAATATTTCAAGTAATTTGAAGAAAAAAAAAACAGTTTAGCATCGCTGTTGTGTTTAGGTAGCTTGGTACCACTCCCCTCAAAGACCGCATCGTGCACTCCAGTTCGGAAGACTAACTAATTCAGTTTGATGTAGACCGTGGAGCGATAATAGTTTCATTAGCTGATTTTCGAACGAGAAGTTTCAACCATATTGTTTACATAGCACACATATCTGCGTGCGTACTCCACCACAAGGTGAGTAAACCATCATACCCGATGTTCCTATAAAATTATATGTACGGTTTGAGTAGTTGATTTAGAAAGAATATGTTTTTTGTAACTACACGTGGAGTAATATGGCCCTCGGTGTGAAAGGCCTATATGGCTCGGGCCATAAAACCTGCTTTTGGCCATAAAACACGCTTTCAGCTATATGATCCGTTTTCTCTTCAGAAGCCCACAAAAATAAGATGTTTTTTGGGATCAAAATAACTTGGCTCCAGCTTTACAAGCTATCATTTTCAACAAAGGGATACCCTCAACTTCTCAATCAGCTGCTGCATCAAACTCGAACTGCCAACAGGACTCATGGTATTGCCATGTATGCGATAACGATGAAAAGCTTGATATGCGCATGTGTGTGATGTGTCAAATATGGTATCATGAAATCTGTGTTGGCTTGGAGCTCAATGACACAGACAGTTCTATTTGTTCAGAGTGCCATCAATCAGCATACTCATCGTACAAAAATATTTGAAAGCGTTCAAGTTTATTTTTGTTATTTCAGTTATATTGAAATAATATTTTGCTTTAAGATTTGGTGGTTTTCATTATTGGGCCATAAAATCATACTGGTTTTGGAATATAGCTAAAGAGATAGTTTTTTTGTTATGAATTTCTGATTTAATATATATAGCACAAATATTTTGCTACTGAATGTTTCTCATTAGCAAAGTTAAAGTAATGTTGAAGAATTTTGTACATTTATTCTTTTATTTTTTCAATAAACATTGAAAATATTGAGGCCAGTCATATATGCCACCACTACCTTATAGAAAACACGGATCATATTGTGTATATCAATCAGTCATAAATAGAACTTGATATTCAAATGTGATCAATTCTTGGAGCATAAACCTCACTAAATCCCTCTTATTCACACCTGATTGTATTGCATTTTGATTCATACTACTTTTTACCTTTGCAGTATAACATTCGAAAATCGAGCTAAAAGTTGATCACAATATGTAATTGCAATCTCGAATTATACCGTGTTGGAAAACACGAAGCATATTGGCGGTAATTGCACTAAGTAGATAGTTCCTAATTTTTTTATAAGGGTCGCTACCAACCCCTAAAGATTCATCAACACGTGAAATGGTTGAATTTAATCTTGAATATAAGGAAGAAATTTTTTTTTCTATGACGGGAAAAAAGTTTGAAATTTTATCTCTGTCGAATGTCTAACCAAAAATTACTTTTTTCTCACGGAAAAAAGTTACTATTCTCTCGGATATATCAATATAATGTAATATCTCTTCAATATTGATTTGTCATTTTCTCTGTAACAGAAAAAAATAGTGTATTATATACGGAAAAATATCAAATTTTGTCTCTTTGACAGCACAACCTGGAGCAAAAATCGACTACTTCTCCCATCGTATAATGAATAACATTTTCTTATATTCAGTTGCGTACCCATTTAATTCAAATATACTATTCATTCAATTCCTGATTCACTCGTTATCCTTTCAAAAACACCACGCGCAAAATACACACTTTCTATGCAAATAATGATGGAACTTATCACTATACTATTTTACTACTGATAATCACTGAAAGAATTGATATCATATTGAGAGAATATGGAATCTTCTGAGTATACTCACTTTTGTCCAAAACTCTCCAAGAACTTATTATAGCTTGGATTCCCCAATGGAGAGTAAGCTACCACTACGATGTTATTTTTGTGGCAGAATTGTACCAGATCCCGTTGTTGCAAAGACAAATGCAGTTCGATTTGTAAACAGGCAGGTTTGATTCTTGCAGCTTTGATTATTCTCTCTATTTGGCTCTGGTTGAAATTGGACAGTCCGATGGCCCTTGTTCGGCCTGCATCTACTTGTTCCTCCATTTTCTGGAAAGAAAAAAGCATCAATACAAATCAAAAGGAAGAAGAGAAGCTCGAAGTCATCTCCACTACTCCATCACTGATGTAAATCAAATATGGGGAATTGTTTAGGACTTATAAAAGTCTATCTTCAGCTGTTATTAGAAGTTGGATGGTGAAGAGAGGGAAGATGGAGGTGAAACAACATTCTAAATTGGACGCCGATGTCTATCATCATAATATCGTGGTTGAGATGATAGACATTGGCATCCAATTCGAAATATTGTTTCACCTCCATCAACTTTTGATAACGGCTGAAGATAGACCAAAACATGTCCCCTTGATTGATTCACATCAGTAATAAAGAAGTGGAGATGACTTTGAGCTTTTCTTTTTCCTTTTGAAAAATTTCACTGCACTTTGAGCAAACATGGACTTCTACCAGAGATCAATAGGAGTTATAATAATAATGATAATAATGATAAATTTTATTCAATAAGTATCTACACAACATTAGTTACATGATATAGTACCATGCGTGATTGTTATACATCTAGTAATACTCATTGAGAAAGACCACATTCAATGTCATAAAGCAACCAGTGATAATACAATCAAAGATTGGAATATGACCTTGTTCTTCCACATGGCCTTGAAAAATCCTGAAAGCTAAGATCCTATAAACTGAAATAACCTTGGTATGTATTATGTGAAGTAATTATATAGTTGAAATCATGCGCAATGAGTTCTGCCGATAGATTTCTATTTATCTGTACAAAGTAACAGAAGTTTCTTTAATTCGGATACCATAGATCTACATTGGATCTATGCGGATACTATATTATACGAGATTATTTTCATATTAAATTCCTATTCTATCAGGATATGAATATGTTTTATATTTTAAAATCAATGATAAAATCCTCTTCCATTAGCAGACATATCACTTTTTTTTTTGAACTGATTCATATCACAACATTTTATTTTTCTTGGCAGAGCATTCATAACCTTACAAATTACGTACGAGAATGAACTTTTGAATAGGGATGTTTTGTGTTTAGGTATCGTCAGAAAGTCTTTGTGGCGGATGTTAATGCTATGTACCAAACAACTACCATGAAAGAATCTCCGTTTTTTGATGCTCAACCACTTCAGGTCAGCAAGTTTGTGTGAAGTATGTGAACGTCTTCTCATATTGAAAATTAATCTGAGGCAAAAGTTCTGGATCTTTTGTAATCGGTTTTCACTCTGTTCTGTTAAACATGGCCCGTAGATGATATCGGCGAAATTAAGGTGTGATAATACAAGGGATTCGCATGAAGTTGTTTTAGTTTGTGAGTTAAGTAATTTTCTGTTCACAAAAATGAGCTTCAGTCTTCCATAAGCTCTTTGAATTATACTATTTACGTTCATATCGAATCTCAATTTAGTGTCAAGAAGAAGTCCAAGATTTTCTGCAATTGTGGTCGTTGGTATAATATTGTTATTTATGTGTATTTTCAATTTATGATCACACCGATCCCTCATAACTTTGGGGCCGAATAACAATACTTGGGACTTACTCGGATTGAGAGACAGGCAGTATTGAGTTGACATTTCAGAGAGGGCTTCAAGTTCAGAATTAGAATATATATAATTCCAATTTTGTATTAATTCGATCCTGTAGGAATAAAAATTCAATTTCACTTTTAAGTCGATAAAAAACCAATGATAATTTTTGAATGGTAATTGATTGCAACATTATCTTTTTTTCTGAATGAATATTCATATCAAATTAAGTTTACTCTTAAATAAAAGCAAAAAACGAGAACATATTTCAAATAAGCGCTCCCCATTAACCACATCAGATAGAAAGAGATAGGTATCCGTAATCACTGCGGGTTTTGCCTGAAAAATATTTTTGCCTCAGTCGTCATTCACAAAAGATCCCTTCCAGTTGTTAACATTGAGTTCAATGTTTCAACCGCACCTCGACAATAGGAAAAGCTTCTGGGTGACGTTTCTCATATTCATAACTGTGTTGGAATATGGAAATGAATGATTCATGATTTTCTGGGGCTGTGTAGTATAGATGATGAATCGAATTGAAAGATAACGAATTTGTTTATGAAATAAATGGAGCATGATTGATTATAAGCAAACAACTTCACCAAAATTGTATAGTAATCATCAGCTCATGCATGACAACCTACTTATATTGTAAGTTCACGAGGCAATGATTGAAAAACAAGGTTGCTAGGCAATTTTGGAATACCAACACTATTGCCCCTGGTGGTTCTGATGAGATAATGAAACTGATTGCTTCATATATCGAGTCGAGAATCAAAATATTTCATAGGATGATTCGAGGCATCAAATCTCCACACATGAGAAGACAAGAAAATATTCTCATGAGTTCAATTTTTATAACAGGAAATTCAGACTCTGAGATAAAAAAAGTTGATGACGGTAATTTATGTGTTTCCATATTTTGCAGTGGATTATTTCCACTTTCTGAACATTACAGGATATCCCTATTCGTGGAAACCAGAACATAGGTAATTAAAAAAGAAATGTTCCGCTTCATTTTCGATTGAAAAAACAAACTATTTGTCTTCATGACTATCGATTACTTGATAACATTATAATCATACAGATCCATATGTTTCGAGAATTCTGAGTGAATCATTTCGAATGTATTTCTCGAAAATGATTCAATGAGTGATAAACTCAAAGATATTGACTATCCATCCAGGACACCTCTGGACCCAACTATATCTGAATACTAGAGGTGAATCGCGGTACATCTTCAATTTAACAAGAAATTTCAAGGAGTTTTAGAGAATTTCAAAAACCTCCGAGGAATCCCAGGATATTCAAGAAACTTCAAGAATTGATCTAGAATCCCAATGCATTTCCAGAGAATTCCGTAAAGTACCTGTACAAAGTCGATTTTCATTCTCAAGTTGAGACATTTATGAGGGGAAATTGGATATAAAAAATAAGAGATCACTGATACTTCACTATAACGAATTATGATTTGTTGACATACTTCTCATATACATTTCAATTTTCATTTCAATACTGAACATATTGGTAAGTTATTTATTCATATCATAATACATCATATTATTTCATCCGATTTGAGAGATGATGTCAATTCTCAATTTCAGAGGATTTCAACTTTTCAAGCTCTCTTTCGGGATGTTCAACCGATATGATTTAATGTTCGACGTGGCAAGTAGCCAGGAAAGTAGTTGTTTTCTGTTGAATATTCGGATGATTTTTTGAATCGACTCGACTGTTACTCGATGGAAATTCATGACAATTGTAAAAACTTCACAAATGATAAAATTTCCACAAAATTCTCAAATACACGACATGTTTTGCTAACACAGTAGCTTCGTCAGGTGATATACTGGTACAATGAGTTAAACTAACGTTGGCTTGCTTGACTCTTCATATATATCATACTTTCCCAACCTGAAGGATTAGATACCTACAAGTACGATAAACTTCCATTTTCGGAAATTAGGCACAATATCTAATTAAAATACGGTATACCGGATTAACTTGAAAGAGTTGATAGCCAAAACATATTATTACTTACTAATAAAACAAATTCAACAGTGGGGAACTATTGAAGTCTAATTGATCATTAAGTAAAATGTCTCAATTTTTGAGTTTGTCGATTTCTAATGATTCAAAATGATAGAGTTTAAGTCATTTATTTTCCATGTGTAGAATTTCGAAATCATCATCAAAGCTATGGTTTTCTTCTAATATATGGTTGGCGTATATTGAATTTGTTTTCTTTTTCATAAAATTCATCTTATGTTCATGAATGCGCTGATTGAACGTACGACTTGTCTGACCAATATATACCTTAGGACAAGATCCACAGTTGAGTTTGAATACCCCTGATTGTAGAACAAATAACACGTTGGGACGGTTTTTCAACAATAATAAAGACAAAACTTCTTAATTCGAAAACTAGAAATCAACAAACTCAAAAATTGTGACATTTTACTAAATGATCAATTAGACCACAATTGATCCCCACTGTTGAATTTGTTTTCTTAGTAAGTAATAATATGTATTTGCTATCAACTCTTTCTAGATATTGTGCCTAATTTCCGAAAATGGATGTTTATCGTACCTGTCCACAGGTAACTTATCCTTCAGGTTGGGAGAGTAGGATTAGGATATATAAAAGTCAAGCAAGCAGCCAACGTTAGTTTAGTTCATTGTATCAGTACACCTGACAAAGCTACTATGTTAGAGAAACATGTCGTATGTTTGAGAATTTTGTTGAAATTATATCGTTTGTGGAATTTTTATATCCGAATGATATTATGTTCATATCTTCATATGAAGGAGAATGCGAATTCTCTACTTCAGAAGATTTTGTTTTCAAATCCTTATTCTGTGTGTTCAATAGATCCAATTCATTGTTCGTCGTGGCATATACCCAGGAAAGTAGTTGTTTTGTATTGAATGAACTGAAAAAGAACTGATTTTTTCATCACATAGAGAATAAGAATTCTCAATGTATTTCTTTATATAAATATCCATTTTTTTATGTTGATAATTATATCTGGAAATATTCCTTCTCAGTATTTCTTAGTATTCGAGTTATAGCAGAAAAAATTTGAACTAAGCCTAAAAAACGGAGTTCTAGGTACTTCCGATTGTCCCCATTACTATCCTTCAGAACCACCCCTGGGTGATATCTCTGAGTAACCAATAGACTACTGTGATGCCTGACTTTGTATTGACTCGGCCGTTACTGGCAAATGTGAAGACTTCACAAACGATGAGATTTCCACAAAATTCTCAAACACACCACATGTTTCGCTAACCCAGTAGCTTCGTCAGGTGATAAACTGGTACGATGAACTAAACTAACCTTGGCTTACTTGCGTGTGTTTGAGAATTTCATGGAAATTGTATCGTTTGTGAAGTGATCTTTGATTTCTGATTCCGATCATTTCACCGAAAAGTGGCCAGCGAACCCTCATGATAAAAGTTTCAGTCCCCATTCACGTTGTATTGCCGGTAGGTGGGTTCGATTTCCACCACGACCGCAGAAATTATACTGATTGCCAAAGAAATTGTTTGGGATCACACGTTAAAAGGTTCAGACCCCATTCATTTCTTGTTCGCACATGTCTCTTGAAGACTTTCAAGGGTTGCTCGTAAGAGGACAACCAAATGATGAATAAGAAGAATTTTCGAACAATTTTCAGAACAATTTTAAAATTGGGTGTTGAAGTGAAATGTGCTTACCTTCCAAACACCAACATGATCCGAGTCCTCCAGCTTGAGCTTATCAAGAGGCGGTATGATAGAATCCCCAATATAATTAGTGCCAACGGCGAAATGTATGAGGTACAAATCGAGGTATTCCAGCTGCAGATTCTCCAGCGATTTCTTGATGAACAACTCTACCCTGTCCCTGTGGATCCCACTTATCGGCAGCTTCGTGGTGATGAACAGCTCCTCTCTCGTCACTTTTCCGGAAGTCAGCCATTTGTTCAAAACGCGGCCAATGATGGCCTCGTTTCCGTAGATATATGCAGTGTCGATGTGGCGGTAACCAGCTTCGAGAGCTGCGTTCAACGCGGTCTCCAATTCTGTCTCGTTTGTCGACTGGAATCAATGAGTGAGGATTGATATCAAAGATTCCGTATCACTCCTGAATAAAGTCAATGTCTACAGGGTGTCCCATAATTAGCGTGCAATACTTTACCAGGAAGAAATACGACCAAAAATGAGAAAACATGTTTCTATGAACATAGGTCAAATAACGTTTCATAAGCGAGCTACATCCTATCCTAAAGGGGGTATCCTGATGATGGTTTTTATTTAATATCTTCGAAACTGTTGATAGCAGGATTATGAAATTTCGCAAGTCAACCAATCTTTTTTTTTAGGGGGGTGTAGATCGCTTATAAAACATTATTCGACCTATGTTCATAGGAACTTTTTTTCCTTGTTTTTGATCGGTAAATCTGCACGCTAATTATGGGACACCCTGTATATGGAGTGTAATTTAATTGATGGCTGAAAATAGAGGATATGATTTGAGAAGCAAAATTTACATGAGCATGTGCCCTCAACCTGTCAATTTTGAAGGTATAGGGTGTTGAGGCTTCAAGGAAGAAATAGTTTTCTTACCCTGATTATGATACTGTTCTAGATATCTTCATGGAATTTGATATCCACCTACTCACTATGTGGTGGTTTGCAGGGCCGGAAGCTTGGAACACGTGTCTATGGTTCACAATTTTTCAAAATCAAATCTCATTATTAGACTGAATACTGCGATTTCATTACAGTAGCTATTGAAAGTTCTGACCATTCTGCAAATAAAAGAGTTTAGTCCTGAGTTTGACAATCAAAGCGATTGTTGAATATTTTATATATCATAAGAAGGTCTGACATGCTTCTCCTATGACTGTAATTACTGTTTACTATTGTTGTTACTGATTTACGAGCTAGTTGTTGAACAAATTCGCTCTGTATGCTTTCGATTCTCTGCTGATAAGTGGCAAATTGGGGACTGCACACAATTGGAGCAAAATTCAATTCACTATATATGAATGCATAATAAAGGTTCAAATCAGAAATTTATTCGGCGTCCATGAGAATAGTAGTGTTGAATATTAAAAATTCATCATCTGTTCTGTTCTTCGATACTATGAAATTTCTTGGAAAACATTGCAGTAATGGATGTCAATTTGATATGTAATTACTGTCAGGAATATCTGGTAATATTGAATTAAATATACCGCACGTTACCGTGTATAATCATCGAATTATCCCAACAAACTGGAGCAGGCAGATCAATCATTGGGGGAGTAACTTATATTCAGATTCTCTTTCTCCATTGCATACATATTTCAATTTTTCCAATAGCAGCGTAGGGTGAATTGATATAGTGAACATTTTGAAATTTGCTATTGAATAATTAACACCCTATTCGAGGTAGATTGCATCGAAATCTTGTATGAGGGTATCCTCGGCAATCCAACGTGGAAAGAATACTGACGCTTCAACCACGAGGGTACACTGCCGTCGTCATACAAAATTTTTTGTGATGGTCTGGAAAAGTGTTTGGGATCACAAGTTTACAGGTAAGACTCTCGTCATTCCTTGCTCGCACAAGTCTCTTAAAGACTTCTGTGGGTTGCTCGTAAGGGGGAAACCGAATGATGGATCAGAGCAACCCCACACAGCACATGACATCCATTGGACGTCCATTTCAGGGCCATGTCAATTCCAAAAGGTTCATGGATATTGAATGAACATCCATTGTACGTACAACAATGGATTATCATTAGATGCTCTGAATTGTATGTACAGTGAACGACCACTCAATGTCCAACCACCCATGAACGTAGAATGTACATTCATTGTACGTATAAAGATGGATGTACAATGTATGTTCCAAAATTAATGTCCATTGGACATCCGTCATCTCACGGACTGAAACTCTCATGGACGTTTGATCAACAGCCATTGTACGTACAGAGAAGGACGTACATTATTGGACGTCCATTTAACGGCCATTCTAAGTCTAAGCATTCATGGATGAAGAATGAACATTAATTATGAGTATATGAAGAATTGTTCAAAGTAAAATGAATATCTATTTGAAATCATTTCAATTCTGAAGGTTTATGGACGTTTAATGAACGTCCGTTGTACGTTCGGAGACGTAAGACTATTGATTTCTCAGTCACGTGGCGGGTAGGCAGAAGGTCAGATCGGTCGGTAGACAAGTCTGGCGTGATGCTGACGCCATTTTCAGTTAGTAAATGACCGTGAACATGACGTGTTGTATGAAATGAAAGCATGCATGTTCGAATGTGACTTCATATATCTGATATAGTTATCAGTTACTATATGCTTTCTCATCCTACAGGTTGTTATTTATCCTCAATGGGCGCGGCTGAACAGGATTTGGGGTATGGACAATCGACTTTTCTTGCAGGAACAAGGATTCAAAGTGGACTGAAGAAGACATGATTCAACGATATATTCATATTCATGTTATCGTCACCAAATATTTATATCTAATTAGAAGTACCTCTATTTGCTACCTACTGTTTTCTTCATTTGATTTCCAAAGATGGGCATCAATTTTACGCCCAAAAATGATTATTCACTGTACGTCCAGAGGGGTGTCCTCTGGACATCATCAAATGGACGTCCATTGGACGTTTAACGTCCGATTTGGTACGTTCAATGAATGCTCAGATATCGACATCCATTGTGAGTCCAAATATAAAATTTCATTGTACATCCGAATATAGATATCCACTGGACGTCGAAAGTGGTATCCTCAGGACATCCAGTGGACATTCATTGAACGTACATTGGACATACATGTGCTGTGTGGGACAATTTCAGAACAATATCTTCGTCACATTCGATGCAAATTGCAGAGGCATGCATGACGAAAGTTACAAAAATGCGCGTTTTTCGAAACTTTCGTCGTGTTTGTCTTTATTTTGCAAAATCCTGGTGTACATGCCAAATAACCTACTATCAATAAATCAGATAGATGAAGTATTTTTCGAATGGCATGCAGTTTGGAGTCACGGGAAACCTGTATTGATTTTTTACAGAGTTTTCCCACATTTCCATACGTTGATTGAACAAGGGGGGCATGCCAATTTTTCCAGAGTGTTTTCGTCACTTAAACTTCAATTCTTCACATCGGCATGTCGGCATGCGATTTGAAAAAACATGAGCCCCATTCAATTTTCTTCAGTTTTTTGTAACACTTTTGAGTCCTTTCGGCCGCTGCGGATTGCATGGCATCAATTAACCAGAAAACACAGAATATTCTATTGATGTTGCCACAACGTTCACAACATAACTCCTCCAGAGTATTTCATCAGTTTTAATTGATCAGTTTGATACAACATTATTCAGGTCATCAGCCTGAGAGACTCGAACCTCCCCTTCCGAAGAGCATTCATTGAATATGATGTTCATAGAACATTTCATCCAAATATGCTCCGGAACGTTCCTAGAATATTCCATTATATTCACTACACACTGTTTCACCACTTTCCGAACCGATGTTCACACCTCGACACATGTTTGGCGAGCTATGTCAGAATCTTCAGGAGAAGATTAAAACAGTTTCAATCTCCTGAAGATGCTGACATTATTAGCGAAAACACGTGTCGAGGTGTGAAAAATCGGTTTGGTTAGTGGTAAGACAGTGTTTAGTGTAGTTTCAATTTTCTCTTGATTTTTCCCGAAGATGCTAACATTGTTAGCGAAACACGTGTCGAGGTGTGAAAAGTCGGTTTGGTTAGTGTTAAAACAGATACTCTTAGAAAGAGAATCATTTTCTTTTCCTATGAACATATTATGTCCTAACTTGCTTCGGTTTCGATATATACAGCAGGAAGTCTAATTTCTCAGAAAAAATCGATTTTTCATTGATTATTCGAAATCGTTTACGCTGATTTTGATAAACCTTGTCACGCTCATCTGCGGTAGCAATAGAATTCAGTGAATTATAGCGCAATTTTTCCAATTTCTCTTTTCCTCATGTAACATCAACTAGATTATAATGAATTTAAGATTTGAAGGAATTTCAAGTTGAAAATATATGGGTGTTCATGCAATATCCTCTCATCAGCTGTTTAAACTTTGTCCAGCATGGCTCGTTATCAATTGACGCATGCGCTGTGGTGAATTATGAAAGGAATCAATTTCTCAGTTGATCACCCACATTACATTTCATAGTTTTATTTTATTGGTTCAAGTTCAGGAAGCATTAAAGTTTCGAAGTTTGCTTGCATGAATCCACCTTTACTCACCATTCATCGACGAAACATTGTACTATATAAAAAAATTTGATTTCACACTTACCTGCCAAGTTCCTAAACCTATGGTTGGTATATTCTTGCCACCAGTCATTTCCAATGATGCTTTGGCTGCCATGATTCCGAAACTGAACTAGAACTAGGAAGTATTTCGAGAACTGTGAAATAGAACAATTTCCAGCTGATATAAACTATGAATATATCCGCTATCTGCTCTAGATGTGTTTACCTGAATGACGACAAGTTGGTAGAATATGTGCTTATCGAATTCTGTTATCTAAAAGTATGGAGTGGGCATGACATGCAAGACTGAACTTCTGTATAAATCATATTATTATGTGAATTTCCCATGATTTCAGCAGAATTGGCATTGGACTATTAGCTGCCCTGTACACCTCACAATCTCTACTGCAATCCAAACAAGTATCCTCTGCTTGCCAACACTCTCCATGAACCAAAATTTTCTCGAACACGAAATGATATGAAAAGTTATCAGAATGTCCTCTGAATGGAAATAGCTCAGGAAGGTTCAGAGTATTTGATTCATATATTAATTTATCATACAGGGTGTTCCTTGAAAGGCTTTATATAATACTATCATATATTCCTCCGACCGGAACAATTCAATACAAGCAAACTAACCCCTGTACATAGTTGCTTCAGTTTGGGCGCCAGACGTCTCTGGAGTTATAATTTTCGATTTGTTTTCGCTTTATATCTTTGAAACAGCTCATGAGATTTCACCCAAATTTGGAACGTAAAGTAAATAGAATTATCTGTTTATTAAAATATGTTATCATTCGAAGACTGGGTTTCCTCTTATTACATTTTTCCTCATTCATGATATAATTAGATTCAACCTCAAAACGTCAGTTTCAAGTCATAATTGAACACCGCATTGACGTCCAAAAGACCTGAGAAGTGACGTCATCCAGCTGTGACTTACTTACGTCATTCAGAGGTCAGTTTGAATAGTGTGAAAGACGTCTTTTGGCCGAATGTGATGCAGTCTTTTATATGTCATATAGTCACCATGTGCTACCTGGGTAAACGCCCATTCATGTTTGCTGGGTCCGATCTCATTTTAGTCTCCTAACCCTATATAGGTTTCCAATTGAACCTAGAAGTTAATTAACGGTTGAATTTTCCACCTCAGCAGGCGTCAGATAAATCCGTTCTAGGTGATTCAGTCTTCGACGGACTGATACAATGAATGAGCAAAGATTTGTTCTGCGGTTACTGTCGCGTTGTTGCAAAATAAGCGGCAAATGTCAGTCTGATGCTAGACTCATTTTTTCAGAGGGCAGTGTCCTGTGAGACAGCTTGTAGCGAGCTTCAGTTGTGGTTTTCTGAGGCTAAGAAGCTCTTTGGCTCGATTTTGCGAATGGTTGATGAACCTTTTCGCTAGTCCAGTAGGATGACTTTTCGATGTCATCCCATTTCAAGAGCTCTACCCTTAGGTGACTTGCTCGTATCACAGAAAGGCTCAGGACCAAAAATGCAGCCACCCAGGTAGCCAGACTGACGAATGTGACGTTTATAGGACCGCTATCTAAGGTCTTTTTTGGTCTCATACGTCTTTTGACCAAATTATGACGTCATGCAGACGTCATTAATTTGACGTCTTATGGACAGCCACTGTTTGACGTCGTATAGACGTCAATCTATGGTCTTCATATTTTTTTGGGTATCATTATCATTATCATTATTATAATTACTATTATTATTATGTAAATGTATGCTTTCCTAACCCCGCACAAGTTTCGACTTATGGGGCGTTGGATCCAGTGCTGGGTCCAACGAGGAAATGCAATTGAAAAAAAAAAATATCATTATTATTATTATTGTTATTATTATTATTATTATGTATGTATAGGAAAACGAAGTTATCAAATAAATCAATTAATCTATCCAAATAACTGTATAATAAAAATGGATTTTATTCCATAGGCTTTCCTTGATTTTCAATGTTTAAATTTAGCGCCAAAGACAATTCTCACATTACCGACCAGATGGCCAATGGCGATACGTCCATGAATTACGCGAAGAGATTGTGTATGTGTGTATCTTGTTAATAAAATCTTCATTCGTAGCACATTTATTTTATAGCACAAATGATTACCTTCCTCACCAGATTATAACCATTAACCCCAAAAATTTTTATAAAAAAACAGACGTCTTATTGACGTCGGAAATTGGTCAGTAGTGTCAGTTTAAGGTCCAATTTGAAAACTCATACTGACGTCTAAAAGACTTTCAATTATGACGTCATTTGGATGTGTCTTACTTACGTCATTTGCACGTCGCATTTGTTAAAATGAAGACGTCTTTTGACCGAATGTGATGCCGTCAATTAGACGTCATATAGTCGTCATGTGCTACCTGGGGCACTTGTTCAGAACAGATAACTTGTGGAGCGTCAGTCTCAACATCCAAGTACTAGGTTGGTTTTTGGTTTGTTTCTCATAATTTTTATCTTAGAATATTAGAACAGATCACTTGTGGAGCGTCAGTCTCAACATCCAAGTACTCTGTTGTTCAATAATTGGAATTTAAATTTTCAATTCAAATTTGCTTCTCACTTTTCGTAATTTTTGGTAAGTACAATTATTTTTATTTTAGAATTTCAGAACAGATTACTTGTGGACCGTAAGTCTCAACATCCGAGTACTCTGCTGTTTGATAATTATAATTTAAATTTTCATTTTGAATTGCTTTCCACGTTTCGTCGTTTTTTTGGTTGTTACAATAATTTTTATTTTAGAAATTCAGAACAGATTACTTGTGGAGCGTCAGTCTCAACATCCGAGTACTCTGTTGTTGAATAGTTGAAATGAAAAAAAATTGTTTTAAATTGGTTCTCACTTTTCGTCGTCTTCCTCCTATCCGCAAAGTCAATGTACAGATTGTCGAACTTTCAAAATTTAACTCAGTTTCATGACATGGCTCTCTTGGTTCTTAGTTCATTTCCTCCTACTTGCTGTTAAAAAGCTTAAGTACATCAGGCACTACATCCCAGTACTATTAACCTATAATTCTTCCTTGAGCAGAAGTGATGAAGAAGAAGATAACCTGAAAATTGACCAACGTGTGATAAACGTTGACAAAGTGTTCAATGTCCTAATTTGTGATAAAATAATTTGCAATAATGTAAAAATTATGTAAGAACCGTTTTTGTTCGTCTTTCACAAGAATTTTAAATGTTTCGTGACACTGTATGTCCAAAAAATGTTACATCGATTCTCAAAATTTCCTCTTGACATCATAGTGATCATCCTCAAATAGTGTAAGTACCACCTCAATATGAAATAGGAACGACTTTCTGATGATAATGGCATCACAGTTGCCGGAAAAAGTTCAAGATTTGATTATTAGAATTATTATCCCAATTGTGTATTACAACCTTCTTCTTGATATACTTGAACATTGAAATCATATTTTGATATAGTCCTGAAGAATCAGAGTATCCAGTGATGGAGGAATTTGCATGATGTAAATAATAATTGAACTGCTGTTGGTTGACTCCACAGGTACTCACAATGAAATGAATTTCGAGAACACATTCTACAGATTCAATTGCATATTTTATACACAATAAATTATTCAAAATTTTCAGTACCCTTAAGGCATAGAAAGTCAGGAAGACACTGAAAGAACATTAATCAGAAACTATTCTTCATTCCTTGGAGATAATAGTTGCAAAATTGTTCTATCAATTGAGCCGATTGAGAAATTCATCGCGTAATAAGGACCTTGTTGACACATTTTCCTGATGATTAGTCTCATTTCATGATTCATAAGTCTAGTTGCAAGATATATCTTGTAATAATATCTTATTCTGACACTCTTCGAAGCTCAATCTATTCAATACAGTTCTCATTTTTTTCAACAAGACTATTCGCAAAAACGACCATCTCACTCTTTGGATGGAAGTTTATCTATATAGGAATTCTTAACTGAGAATGTCCTGCGAAAATTGGAATTCGCGATGTTTCAGGTGATTCGATTTCGACTGATTATGGATATGGAACTCATGCTCGTTGGGTTTGGTGAACATAATTAGGTCATAATTCAAGACAAATAGCTATTAATTTCTTTCGCAAGATAATCCAGCAGAGCATGACAGACGATCTGGTATTCACACCGACTCCAGCTAACTCAGGAGATATTTTGGAGCTAAATCCCATGATGAAAAATGAAGAAAACTTATTTTAAATTTTTCAATTTTTCAATAAGTTCAAACTTCAACGATAGAAACTTGTTATTTTTATAGACCCCTAATCGCAGACTCGTGATTGGGTTCCTCTAATTCAGAATTTCTTTTCACGCCCTGTATGATGAATATCAATTTGTCATACATCCAAACAAGAAGACATTTATTTTGGCGTATCGCTCTCATTTACCAATCTCACAATTATAATAATTTTCAACGACAACAATTTTTTTTTTCGCGATACGTGCGTTCAGCGCCTTCACATCACTGAGGAACATTTCTTTTTACCATCATAGTAAAAAATCGAATGATCCCAGCAAAAAACTCTGAATGCACAGGAGGCAAGCGAGTTATCACTTGCGATTATGAAGTCAACTTTGCTGATTCAAACCCTAAAACCCACCTAAGATTATTAGATATAAAACAATGCTTCTATACTAGCGAGTGCATCTGTTTATTGCTATTATAGACGATGTTTATGTAGTGGGTAAATTTTGAGGAATTAGCAGTGGAGAGAGAATTGATTTCGAAAGACCAACACCGAAAAGCAACACTTTATTTATATATCGAAAAACAATCCATAGTTACCCATGTAATAGGTATCTTGATGAGAAGACAATATTTAAACAAAGTAAATGAAATTCTAATACAGTATGATATTTCAATACTCTCCCTCTTTGTTTACTCTTCTGAAGATAATGGAAACACAGAGAGGGATGTTCTATTATTCTCGAACTGTCTTCTTGGTAATGGTTTTGTAAAAATGTCCGCCAACTGCAACTTCGATTCAACGTAGGAAACAGTAATGGAGCCATTTGCCATACATTCTCGGATGAAATGGTACTTGACATCAATATGTTTTGTACGCTTATGATGCTCAGCATTTTTCATGAGTCGGATTGCACTCTGGTTATCTACGTACAAGGAAGTAGGCTCGGTCAAATGAACCCCAATTTCTTGAAGAAATCGACGTAACCAAATTATTTCTTGAGAGGTTTCTGACGCTGATACATATTCAGATTCAGTCGTTGACTTGGAAACGCATTTTTGACGTTGTGAACACCAGCTGACTGGTGCTCCGGCTACCATAGTTACATAGCCACTGGTGGATCTTCTTGTATCTAGGTCACCAGCGAAATCCGCATCTGAATAGGCTTTGAAATTGATTTCTTCACCTTCATAAAGTATTCCAAAATCAGAAGTACCCTTCAGGTATCTGAAAATTCTTTTCACAGCTATCCAGTGTTCCTTATCGGGATTATGGAGGAATCTACTGACCTGGCTAACAGCAAACATGATATCAGGTCGGGAAACTACTGCCACAAACATTAAACTTCCTACTGCCTCCCTGTATGGAATTTTTCTCATTTCTTCAATATTCTCATCAGAAACTGGCTTCGATCGGAGTGTTATGTTGGGATCTGCTGGTATAGCATTTGAATGACAATCAGACATATTGAATTTATCCAAAATTTTTGTTATGTACCTTTTCTGGCCAAGGAACATCTTTCTCTGGTTTCGATCCCGTTTGATTTCAATTCCGACGTAATATTCCGGATCACATATAGTGATTTCAAATTGTTTCTGAAGTTCGATCAAGATTCGTTTTATCACCTCTTTCGATTCGCATATCAGGAGTCCATCATCCACGAAAAGAGTCAAGAAGATCTCGTAGTCATCGAATTTCCCATTAAACACACATTTGTCTGATTCCAGCTGCTTGAATGAAAATGTGACGAGAAAATCTACAAACTTTTGATTCCAACAACGAGGTGACTGCTTCAATCCGTAGATACTCTTCCTCAGTTTGCACACTAGGGTAGGATCATCACTGCAGAATCCTTCTGGTTGATTCATAAATATATCTTCTTGCAGCTCGCCATATAAAAATGCAGTTTTCACATCAAACTGACACATTTCAAGATTTCTGACACAAGCTAAACCTAGCAACAGTCGAACTGAATCATATCTTACTACGGGTGAAAAAGTTTCCGTGAAATCTAGACCTGGAACTTGAGAATAGCCTTTTGCAACAAGCCTTGCTTTGTAGCGATCTGGATCACCATTGGGTTTACACTTAACTTTGTAGACCCACTTGCATCCCACTACTTTCCTATTTTCAGGTAATTTCTCAAGAGTCCATGTATCATTTTTCATGAGAGAACGAATTTCTTCCTCCATAGCTACTTTCCAATATTGTTTCTCCTCACATTCGGTAGCTTCTTTATAAGTATTCGGCTCGAGTATCACTGCAGAACAGGCAACTTCATCGATTAGTCGAGCTGGAGGTCGTAGATGTTCCCTTTTTCTTAGTTGTCGACCTACTTCTTGAACAGACTGAGCACCTATTGAATATACTTCATTAGAAGGCTCTTCTGTTTCGATATCACTTGAGTTTGTGATTCTCTCTTGGTCTTCGTGTTCAACAAAATCGACTGCATTTATTTCGGTCTCAAAATCAGCAAAACTTGGACCTACTTGTGCAGCTGCTTCATTGATGTTCTCATCAAACGTAACATTTCTTGCAACAGTGATTTTTCTGGTATTCTTATCGTATAATCTGTAGTTGGGACCATTTCCTTCATATCCCACAAGAAATTGATTGACGGATTTTTTTTCAAACTTCTTCCTAAACTGTTTGGGAATGAGCGCATAACTTGAAGCACCAAACTTCTTCAGATGATCGAGACGAAGTTCTTTTCCAGTAATTTTCTCATATGGAGTCTGGCTATCATCAGGTTTGCAAGGTCTCCTGTTCAATAAGTATACTGCCATGTTGACTGCTTCAGCCCACAAATAAATTGGAAGATTAGTACTTTCCAACATTGCTCTAGCACTTTCAACAATGGATCGAATGTCTCGTTCTGCTCTTCCATTTTGTTCTGGAGTGAACGGTGCACTGGTTTCATGAACAATCCCTTGACTTTTCATGAATCGTTTGAAATGTTCGTTGACATATTCAGTCCCGTTGTCAGTTCTCAGTACTTTCATTTTATTTCCAGTCTGCCTTTCAATCATTTTGTGAAACTCCAGAAATTTAGCGAAGACATCACTTTTATGTTTCACAAAATATACAAGGCGATATGAAGTACAATCATCTTTGAAAATTACGAAGAAATTCGCTCCTCCAAGAGACGTGGTGGAGATTTTTCCACAAACATCGGAATGAATATACTCGCCAGGTTTTTCTGCACGATGAGTGTTCTTCTTGAAAGGCTTCTTACTTTGTTTTCCTAATTGACAACTTTCACAAAACAAATCTGTATTCGTCATTTTGAGACCAGGAATTGCACCTTTATCTGCCATTTCTTTTAAGGATCGAAAATTTATATGACCCAACCTTTCATGCCATAACATGACGGAAGTTGTTTCAGCAGCATTTCCTTGAATGACCTCAGGGATTTCTACATCGAATAACATTCTGTAGCATTGGTTTGCCTGTTTGACTCCTGCAACTACCAGACCAGCTTCATTTCTAACTTCAATGCCTCTTTGGTTGAAAAACACCTCGTAGTTTCGATTGGTGATTGCTCCTATCGAAAACAGATTCTTCCCTAGGTTTGGAACATACAGCGTGTTCTCGAGACTTCTTGGTTCTTGCTTTCCATCTACTAGGGCTTTGACAAGGATCGTACCGATACCTTCTGCGTGGATTAGAGAACCGTCGCTTATTTGAATGGCTTCTTCAGTTTTCAATGGTTTCAGCACTGAAAACCATTCCTTTTTAGAAGTCATATGTTTTGAAGCTGCACTGTCAGCGAGCCAAATATCCTCACAACCTGAGACGACCATGTTCTTTGCTTCTGCACTCAAAGCGAGATTCTTCTGTGAACTAGCCTGATTGATATTGCTCCCATATTTCTTCATCCGTTTTCTGCATTCTGTTTTTAGGTGTCCTAATTTGTGACAATAAAAACATTTCTTGATTTTTGTTTTGGAGTTTGCATCACCAGATCCAGAGCTACCATTAGGAGCAGATGGATCATTTTTGAACCTTGAGTTACTCATCTTCATTGAAGCAAAGGCAGTTGATAACTGGTCTTCCTGAGTGAATCTCAATTCTTCTTTCAGTAAACGTGAAGTCAAGTTATCGAATGTCTGTTTAGATTCATCGTAAGAATCCCAAGCAGTGACGAAAGACCTATATTTATAAGGTAAACTGCCTAGAATTTTGGCTACTTTGTCAATATCTGATACTTTTTCACCAACGTCAGATAAAGCTTGGGCCATAGATTCCACTCTACTGATATGCTGAGCAATAGTGTCTGTTTCTGACATATGATAGCTGAAGAATTGCTGTTTCAACATCACTTTATTAACCGCTGAACGTTGTTCGTGGATAATCTTCAACCGATTCCACATGGCTGCAGCTGTATCACAAGTCATGATGGTCTGTAGCTGTTCGAACTCCATGGAGGTTGATATGATGAGCATAGCTCTGGCATTCATATCTTCCCATTCTTTCTTGATTCTCGGATCTTCTGTTTCTTCTGGTCGAAGAATTTTCCCGTAAATCAAATTCGTCACACCCTCAGCTCGAAATATAATCTCCAACTGGTATTTCCATAACTGGAAATTTCCGCCGTTGAACTTCTGAATACTGAAGCTTTTGAGTTTGTCCATCCTTTCACCTTATTTCCAAGATATTCTTCACAGGATAATCCAAGGAATAAATTTGATGTGACAATGTCAATATTTTTCTTGGCAGATTGATTCTACTGAACGAAATCGACGAAATGATATACTCGAATGCTGAAATTTCCTTCTTGTACCCCACTAATAGTGATCTGGGCCCATAACCTTTTGAGGAATTAGCAGTGGAGAGAGAATTGATTTCGAAAGACCAACACCGAAAAGCAACACTTTATTTATATATAGAAAAACAATCCATAGTTACCCATGTAATAGGTATCTTGATGAGAAGACAGTATTTAAACAAAGTAAATGAAATTCTAATACAGTATGATATTTCAATAGTAAATGACTTTGCTACTGCTAGTGAGAGCATCTGATAATGGAAGTAGGCCAATTTTATAATCATAGGTAGAGAACTCTGCTTAACTTTGGTGGGTGATCATATAGATAGTTCCTTGATATTCTTGCTGTATAGTTCTTCAGTTATTTTTCTTCTGTGTAATTTTCACAATCTGATTTCACTTTCTATAATTTCCACTCTGATGTTTGGTATGAATAGCAATTTATTGATTCTTGAAGAAAATTTCGGACCAATGATCTTTGAAATTCGATGAATCAATTGGAGGGCTTATTGTGAAACAATGACAAGCCGTACAAGAGTCCAAAATGAGTTACTGCTCTTCTCGGTTGCACCAATAGTATGAAAAGCCTCTACAAAATTATATCGGGCCTTCGTTATTGGATGGCGCGAAAACACTATTGCATGGGTCAATTTTTTTCTCTAGTTACTAGGTACCCGACATAATCACAAGCCAAACAATTTTTTTGGTAATGCTGTGAATTCTGACGATGCCAGAGAAAAACAGTAGAGTTGAGTCGACATTCAATGACAGTGACCATGACACTGATTTGCAACAATCTAGAAGTCACTCAAGTGATGAGAATACAGCAGTATGTATTTTTTCCCCAAATGTGGCATGTCACATCATTATCATTCTGAAATAAAACATAATAGAGTATTATTGTAGTGGCATGTCACGTGACTTGTTATATTATTGCATCTTGTTGTAGGTGAATGAATAAGAAGAAAGAAAAAAAACATACACACCCGGAAAAATTTCAACAAGTCCATGGAAGGGATCGAATGAAAAAATTCGACGAAATTTAGGGCAACCATGTGTGAGATTTTGGGAAATCATTCTGAATGGAATTATGTAACAAGCCACATTTTTTTCAAAAAAAGCCTGTTTTCCTCAAGATTAAAGTACTCTTATCAATAATCTTGTTAACTATATTCGCATAGGGCATGAAGCATTGACCTTAATAAAACCAAAACCATTCAAGTTTTTACTAGATTTTATATATTATTTCAAACATTCGAAGTAAAATATCTCATTTTCACCTTTCTGAGGCATGTCATTGTTTCACAATAAGGACAAATAAAAGGTTCTTGAGTAGGAAATTGTTCATTAATTTTTATTCAATTTGAAATATATTCCTCCTGAAAACTTCTGAAACCTCATAGAATATACAATATTTTCGAGCAAAATCATTCTATGTCTATGGAGTATGTTTCTCAAATATATGCAATTATTCTCCAAACGGCCATTCGGGATGTGCATGCAACCTGAAAAAATATAAAATATACAATTGAACATCGTTTGAATCAATATAATGACACAGCATTTTATTGAAGCATGAAACCAAATGGAGCTCATGTTATGGGTACAACATACTGATAATTATACTATCTTCATGCGGAAATGATTTTGAAATTGTCCTTTGAATATGCTTGGGGACAACATCAGGACTATACGTTATGAAATAAACTAAGGTTTACAGAAATGGAATTCTCTTGTGCTGACATTGAGATCGAAATTATTTCGAAGAAAAAAGAAAATTCTCCTATCCAGATCTTATCCTGATTACCGAAGAAAGGAAGTGTTGTATTTCGTGCAAGATAGTTTATCCTTTATATTCGCAGCAGAGCGCTTTCGACTGTTAAGTCATCATCAGTGCATACTCTTCAGGTTAACAGGGAAATTTGTCTACAAAAATATGGTAAAATACGGTACAAACATATTAAAATGTGTTTGCGAAAAGGGGGTAAAATACAGATTACATTTTGTTGAGCAGCCATTGGCCCTGCGACATGTCGTGTTGATAGATATCGGTATAGTGTCACGAGTAGAGCATACAGTAAATCAGTAATTTCGAACCATCCATTGACATCGAACTATAAATTGTGACCAAGGAACTCTCATGAGAAACGTGAAAAGTCTTATAAAATGATGTATATGGATTTTAGATGTGAGTGTTCCAAAGTTAGTCTGGTCTGGGGCTACTCTTGACTTGAAAAAAGCTCGTCGCATCGGTCATTATATTGTGAGTTGTCATTAGGTCTTCATTTCCATTGTTATCTTATTTATAATCCTCATCACTTCATCCAAAATGTTTCGTTTTATGATAAATATTATTATCTTTGAATAGAGTCTCGTATACTATCAGTTACCTCTGTATTCTGTTCCTAAACTATGCGAGAGGTATATTCAAATAGGCCCTATATTTGAATATACCTCTCGCAAATTCTTTAGCCAAGCATACCCCTCATATTAATGGATATTGGTGATATACTAACCCCATATTGTGACATAGTGGAATTCCTACTACTTTATTATTATAATGACATGGACGGACTAACCCTCTCCAATATCGTGACAATGGTTGCATAATGTATCAATTTCGCTCATTCGAAACATCCTGTATAGTGATTGTATACTCACAATGGTCTGGATTTCATGTCCAAGATACGTTCACCAATGTCAAGGCCATGAAGACTAGTCATATCATCAGAATCGAGACTGAAATCGTAGATATCGATATTCTCTTTTATTCTAGAAGGGCTCACACTTTTTGGTATGGCAACAATGTCCTGTTGCACGAGGAATCGTAGCAGCACTTGTCCGTTGGATTTTCCGTGTTTTTCAGCAATTTTCCCTACGACTGGATTCTGCAGCAAATTGGGTAGTTTTTTTTCTCTGAAATAAAAAGGAAGCAAGTGCAAACTTAGAATTACTCAAAGAATCCTGATTTTTGAAGTTTGGCGACCTTGATTATTTCACTTACTATAAAGGGTGGCCTGGTTTGTGATACAAAAAATTCTTCAGGGTGTAGTACTCGTTGGAATAATAAAAAAAGTTCATGTAAACATATACTTTTAAACGCGTCGTTTTGGAGATATAGGGTGTTGAAAATACGAGTCTGAATATTGTTTCTTGATGAAAAGTTTGAAATGGTTTGAGAGAACCCAAGAAAATTGATCAGATACTGAGCATTTCAGACTCTTTGGGATGAAACAGTGAGCATAGCCTCTTGTTTCAAAATCACTCAAATATTATTATTGAACTGAAACTGTTCTGAGCCGATTTAACGTTCGAAAATTTCTTCTCATAAAACGTAAAAAGTTTTGGATCTGTGAGAAATGTTGTTGATTTATCTCCAACCGTTTCGAACTTTTCATCAAAAAACAATATTCATACTCGTATTTTCAACACCGCCTATATCTATTGATATGAACTTTCTCCATTATTTTCACGAGTACAACACACAATTTTCTGTAATACAAACCGGACTACCCTGCATACTAAATGTATCAGATAAATGATGTAAATAGGTCGCTTGCACGATGACCGACCCTAGAGGTAAAATATTGAAACACTACCTCATTCTTTTGTGAATTTGGTCACAGAGAAATCAAAGGAATGGAGTAGTTTTTCACAATATTATGAGAAACAAATCGTGTTTTTGCGCTATTCAACAATTCAAGCATGCCTCCGCATTGTGCTGTTGTACAATGCACAAAAAATGCAGCGAGAGACGTAGGAATAATAGGAATATGATTTCAGATCTTTGCCGATGAATCTTTTGGAAGACTTATTATCTGGTCCGATGAATGTTATTTCTGAAGTGCGGAAATTTTTAACCGCCATATAATACAAGACATTGGTCCGTCGAAAATCAACATTTAATTTTTGAGAAGGCACAGCAGGGACGCTTCGGAATTGGGGTCTCATGTTTCACTTTTAGAAGACGAATAGTCTACAGAATTCATGAAGGGGGTCTCACAGCACGTCGTTACCACGTAGTTAATCTGTGTCGTTACCAAGAAATCCTTGAGGAAGTTATTCCAGAACTGACGGAAAATGTTCCATTGGCTCTTCATATTTTCTTTATTTACAACAAGACGGTGCCCCCAGCCACAACTCTGCCCTTTTGTGGCCATTTTTAGATGCTGATTTTCCTCAAAAATGGATTGTTACATACGGACCTATAAGATGGCCCCCTCGATCTCTATATATTTCAATTTTGCATTCTTTCATGGGGTTCCCTGCGAGGTAGAGTTTATGAAACAAGATAACAACAAGAGAGCTTCGTGCAGCGATTGATTTGAGATTCCCAAAATTTGCAAGTCCTAAAATTCTTTACAAAGCTATCAGAAGGATAAAAAAATGTGCCAATTTTGTATACAAGGAAATGGTCTTCATTTTGAAAACCATCTACGAAACCTCTCTGCATTTTCAAAATTTTGCTTTTATTTGCTTTTTTTTACGTTAAATCCTAAGTAAAATATGTTTGGTGTTTGTTGTTAGTCATCATAATAATAGTTGAAAATATGTATTTTTCAACTTTCAAATACTCTTCGAGAGAAGATAACGCCGTCATTTTCCCGGACAATTCGGATGATTTCCAATTTTTTTTCCAATGTATAGCTGCCCATTGGAAAGTATATGGGCCGGTTGCTCAAATCATTTGATAGATGATTAATGGTAAATTATACCATGAGCTTAGCGGTAAGAGAATATTATTCACAGAGGATAATAGTAATTATTGCCATAAGAAAACTCTACTTTGGCACGGCTAATCCATTCATTTCAGATCTTGAATACAAAAATTCTGAATCTTCATCCATCTCATATCTCAATACAACAAACACTATACGCGTTTGACATTGATAGTATATAGAGTTTGTTCATATTGTTTCTCTGCCATCAGTGTTATTATGAGTAGAAAATGTTTAACATTGTGCGCTCGAGTTCACTAGTGGAGCTATCAGTTTAGTGATTGACAAAAGTAAATAGTAAATAAATAATTATTCTTCTCGAAGTTGTGTCTTTTCTTAGAGCGCACGAAAGGAAATTACTTCAAATCATGAAGCTTCACAAGAGATACCTTGGACGATCCACACGGAATCAATACATTATAATGTTTCCGTGAATATTTTATTATTATCATTCCAAATGAAATTGAAAGTATGAATGAAAATGTCACCAGTAGATGATATATGGCTCTGATGTAAAGCTATACTTCACACTATAAAAACGGTGAATATAGCGTGAAAGCGCCAGACCTGCCAACACTGGCCACTTTACAGTGAAATAACCGATATTCTCCGTAAATGGTCATGTTGCCATACTTTAATATTCCGATATGTAACGATTCGATTAACATCCTGTATATCCATATGGCAACGTATACATACGCTGATAAGTAACTAGGGTTGATTTGTCGGTAAGTTAACAGAGAGGTTTATGCAACTGGCCCTGTATCTCTCCAAATTGAAGGCAAATGAAATATATTTATGGACAAAATCGGTCAACATTTTTCTGCTCTATAATATCGTCTGAAGAAGAACTGCAATGTTTCTGAAGAATACCTTGAGCTTAGATATCGATATAAGTAATTAATATTCTACTTCGTTCCTGAGATGAAATAATATCGATTAGTGATTGAGCTGTGCATTAGTAAACTTACTTAAGTCCCGATTTTTTTATGAACACATTCAAACCAGGACTTCCCAATGGAGAGTAGGCAACCACAACAATTCCATTCTGCTGACAGAAACGCACCAGTTCCCGCTGTTGCAGAAACACATGCAATTCGATTTGTAAACTAGCAGGCTTGATTCTGGATGACTTCACTATCCTGTCGACTTGCCTCTGGTTGAAATTGGATAAACCTATAGCCCTGGTTCTTCCGGCTTCGACCTGTTCTTCCATTTTCTGAAAAAAACAAGAAATGTCAGAATGAGGGAAAAAGCCATGTCTATGGAAGATGACGTTTCGAGTACCCCGACAGTAGGCGAGTGGACTATTTTTTTATTTCTCAAATGGAATCATCAGTAAAATACTATTCAATTTTATATGTTTTGAGAATTTTTCGGTCGATTCTCAGGTGCTGAAATCCTCAATAATGCCACGGTGATTTTCAAATCATCTAGAAATTTACCGCTAGTGAAAACAGACCATAGTTGCGTTGAAATACGATTCTGAACTTCAGAAATATTAGCCATTCATTAATTAATGAATTCCCAATTGAGTTTTGATGATTATTGTCCTAATAAGCAATAAAAATTCAATTGTCCCGAAGTGTTCCCTCATTATTTGTGGCTTATTTCCTGTAATAAATTTGTGTCAACACACTAAAGGACATTTAAATCGGTGAACGTGACAACTCCGTGCACGACTTGTGGGCGTGGTCTTATCAGTCCTCAGCATTCAGCACAATGTTGTCAGGTCTCCAACATTCACATGGTATTTTGTTATGGAGTATAAGGAATATTTGGACATGCTGGTTGCTCTAAAAAGTCAAGAATGAACTATAATGTCATGAGTTCCTCCTATTATGTTTTATTCAACGACAAGACTCAAACATTGTTTTGATAACTTGATTTCAATTGATGACTTGACAACCTTGCATCATGAGTGGAAATGGAAGATTATCTGACCAATAACGAAACAGCATGAAAACTGACGTCAACATTTATTCGACGTATCGCCAAACGGCGGCCATGACGTGACGTTGCAAGTGCAATAGACACTCATTTGCATTTCTTCGCAATAATTTTTTACGTTCATAATGCAAACACCAAAACATATTTTATGACACTCAGAGTTATTAGACAGCGAAGTATTTAATAATTAATTAGCAATGAATTACTAATGTATTGGGAACTACTCAACTCAAAGCTAATTTTTACCATTAATATCAAAAGTGAATGTTCAATTCGTGAAAATTTCAATATTGATATTTCTTAGCAAATCAAATTTCAATTCTTCTTCTTGATTTGCGACCTCTCTGAATGTACTAGTAGTTTTCATCTGTTCATTGTCATTTTCTTCGGGCTGAAAAATTTTATTTCCTGCGTCCTGTCTCTGATGGTCGCGACTCACGAGTCAGCTACTCGATTGTGAGAACTCGCCGCGCTGACAAGTTTGCTGTATGTTGAAATATGCGCCCACATGCACCGCGTTGACAGCATCAGAATAAAGCGGGTCTGTATTCTGTCCAGATTGTGTCTTGATTATCTCAAGAAGATATTATGAATATGCAATTGATATGCAAATGGATTGAATGCTAGTTCAAGTTTGTCTTGACAAACATCAAAATACCCTGTAGTAAAATGACATATGAGTGCAATAAAAAATCGTATAGCACTAGTGCAACAAAGAACCAATTCTTCACTAAAAATAGTGCAATAAAGGTTTGTCTTTCGCATAAACTTGAGAAGAATCAATGATGCAATACTTACCACATGATACCATCGAAAGCTTACCTTCCATATTTCAACGTGATTTGACGGCTCCAATTTCAGCTGATCAGCTGGAGGCGAAATATATCCTTCCACATAATTAGTGCCAATTGGAAAATGGATCAGATACAAATCGACGTAGTCCAGCTTCAGATTTTCCAGCGACTTCTTCATGAACATCTCCACTCTATCTTCGTGAACTCCGCAGGATGGCAGCTTCGTGGTGATGAAAAGCTCCTCTCTTCTGACTCTACCGGCAGAGATCCATTGGTTCAGTACTCTGCCGATGATGGCTTCGTTGGAGTAAGCGAAAGCTGTATCGATGTGTCGATAGCCAGCTTCTAGAGCTGCCTCCAACGCTTTTTCCAACTCTGTTTCGTCAGTTGCCTGAAAGAATTATGAAAATTATGATTACTTGATAATATCTTCCATGATGATTTCTGGGAAAAGACCAGACCTAATAACTACAGTGGGGACGGAAAAAGTCCTCCCCCCCTTAACTTTTGAACGGAACATGCTAACTAGGTATATTACTAGGGGAAATGTGTCTGTTTTGACATATCGGACGAGTTGGCATTTTGGTACTTTCTTGGCTTCAAAACACTTTGCGGTGCAACTAACCTTCTTCTTCTGTTTACCTATTGTGTCCTGACGCTTGGAGGGTAACATTCACATGAGGGTCTTTGGCCCGAGGGATGAATGCTGCTTGATGGACGTTAGGATCTAGTAACACTCGTGTTACATACACGATTTTATTTTTCACGAAAAATTCATCTCATTTTGATGAAACATCGATTTTGATAAGCGGTTCATTGCTCCCAGCTTTTCATTTCGATTTGGAGGCCAGGTAGCCGTGCGGACATAGCCGTGCGGACAGAGTGTCAATATTATTTCAACTCGCATTCGCTTGCCGGTCGTGGGTTCGATTTCCATCGACTGCAGAAATTTTTCTGATGGCCCAAGGAAGTGTTTGGGATCACACGTTAAGAGGTAAGGCCCCCGTCATTCCTTGCTCGCACAAGACTCTCGAAGACTTCTGAGGGTTGCTCGTATGGGGGCAACCGAATGACGGATAAAACAATTCTAGAACGATTCAAATTTGAATTTCTCTTCTCATAGTAGGCATGGCATTTGTTGATACTTTGACGTTCGTTAAATATTGCTGTCATCATTCATTTAGTGAATGTCATTGCTTCTTTCTTCGTGTAGTCTCAGAAAAATAATGGAAACGAATACGAATTCACCTAAGAATATTATAAAACAATAGCTTCTAATGATGTATTACCGGATAAATCCAGACTCGTGTATAACGACAAGGATTTTGAAGTATCCAATCAATGGAATTCGGAAAATCAAATTATTGTCATAGTGACCCAAGGGTTATGGTTCAGTTAAAAGTAACCGTTGCCAAGGTATCATAACCAAAAATATTAATGACAATATTGGTTTTTGGAATGTAAGAAATGTTAAAGTTACTCTTATTTGCAACAGAAGTAACTTGATTTTGTAAACCTCACCTTGAAATTTTACGGTATAACCGTAATTTTGACGAAGGAATCATAATCTCCGACCCCGAAAATCCCCAATTACAAAACTCATCCGTTATATTGGATCCGCCAACTTGAATTTCCAAATTTTGAAATCCAGATCCCAATTTTGAATGAAATAGGATCATTATCAAAATAACTTGTTCACCATATTGGATCCGCCACATTGAATCTCTTAATGTTCAATTTTGAAAAGAATCGGTACATAATTACAAAACTCGTCCGCCATATTGGATCCGCCATCTTGAGTTTCTTGAATTTGACGAAAAAATACACTCTCTGACTCCGAAAACTCACAGATACCAATTATGAATAGACTCGGATTACAGAACTCTTCCGCCATATTGGATCCGTTATCTTGAATTTTCGATTTGAAAAATAGTTCACTATCGATTCTCAGACCCACCAAATATGTTCAAAAATTGTCATTGGAATCGTATCGATATTTAGGGTGGTACCTATAGGTACGTTTTTGAATTGACCCACTGAATACCTCCAGTAAGTCATAAATAGAATATTATTTCTCACAGAAACACATAAATCTCTGCCAAATATTGATTTCACACTTACCATCCAAGTTCCCAAACCTAGGGTTGGTATTTTTTTGCCACCGATCATTTCTAATGATATTTTGGCTGCCATGATTCCAGAACTGAACTAGGAGGTACTTCGAGAACCCAAAAAATGAAATAATTCCCACTTGATAACTTTTGTATACTATATAGGTATTTACTTCACATAATCAACCACTATCAAGATGAATGTATAGATAGATGTGTTTGGCCTGACTGATGAAAATGAGTTGGTGAAATATCTGCTTATCGAATTGTGTTATCTGAATGTAATGAGTGGGTATGACATGCAAGACTCATCTTTTGTGTAAATTATATCATGATCATGTGAGTTTTCCGTGGCTTCAGCAGAATCAACGTTGAAAAACAGCTGCCCTTGTGGAGTTAAATTTTTTGCTCCTCAATTAGATGATTCATCTTCCATTATTGCGACGGTACCTGATCAAGTATTTTTCGCCCACACTCCTTATGGTCTGAAATAGATATTCTTCGAGAAAGAAGTGTGTTAGGGATCTAGATTGATCTCTGAGTTTCTCTGATGGAATTATTTTTCGAAAGAAGTAACTGGAACGAGAGGCACTTTTAGCCTCACCAGCATCGTCATCAGTCTCAAGTATTGTATGTAGGTTAATCGAGGAGGTGGTATATTCATCTATTTGATTTTTTGGGATTTTCTCTCTTTGTTTCTATAAAATGAAAATATGCGTATTATTTCAATATATTTGTAGTGGGACAAATCAGATGATTTGCCCCAAAATGTCACTGCGTTTGTCAAATATTTCCATCAGGGAGCCTAAAAGAAAAATCCAGTAGTTTGTCAGTGACAATTTGTTTGAGAAATATTTGAAGCAACGGAATATAGCTATATTGAAAAAATATCGAACTTTTACTTATCTTTGGACGTTTCGGGACCGAATCTGCTCCGGTTCTCAACATGAAAATGCAAAATATCTCTCTTTGGAATTCGTGCTGCTTATGGTTTGACACTTTACTGCAGCATTATGAAAACTGAACATGAAAATAGTAGTTTCAAGATCAATTAATGAAAACATCCTGCAACTTATTTGTAGACTAAAATCACTCATTCATATGCCAACATCAGTATGACACTGAAAAGTATCAAACTATAAGCAGCACATCTTCTAAAGAGAGATATTTTGCATTTTTATGTTGAGAGCGGGAGCAGATTCGGTCCCGAAACTTCTAAAGAGAAGTGAAAATTCGATATTTTTTCAATATATCTAAATGTGCTCCAAGTATGATGAAGAAAAAGAGATGCAATGTTGTGGTATCAAGGGGTGGACGATAGGTTAACGCCATGATCAGCATAGGCTATTGGGCAGAATAGAATATTATTCAATGAGCGCATTCAATATTAGCTCATTATATGCGAGTAGAATACTATACTTTGTCCACGACAACTATACAGGGTGTTATTTAAGTACGTGGCCAAACTTGAAGGGGTGATTCTTTGAGGGATTCTAAGACGAAAAGTTCATATAAACATAGGTCCGGTAATGCTTCTTTTTCAAGATACAGGGTGTCAAAATTTTTAAAAGAAATCGTTTTTTTCGTAAATATCTTAATAACCCTTCAACCGATTTTATTGCAATTTGGCAGTGTTATTCAAGGTCGTAAAGGGCTAATTTAACCCTAACTATATCAAAATTATCATGTCCAGTGGCGTTTCGGAAGGCACTGTAACCAAGTTTTTTGACAGAAAAAATGTGCGCCTCTGATTTTTTTGCAATTTTTGTATTCGTTTCACATTGAGCAACTGAAATTACAACTTTTTTATATCTAGAATTTTTTTCGTATCTTGCTTTGTTTTTGAGAAAAAACATAAAAATCACTTCATTGCACATCCCTGTGACAACACAATAAAACATTTCAACTACTAAACCATCAAAAACTGGGGTCTTACTAATATTTTTTCATATTAATACTCTATTCTAGTCTTGGAATTTTCTATCAAAATTAATGCAATGAAAAAACAAAAAATATGTATGTATGAATTGCACCACTTGCCTTCGGCTCTTGGCTTCGGCTCGTCACAGGGATGTGCAATGAAGTGATTTTTATGTTTTTTCTCAAAAACAAAGCAAGATACGAAATTAATTCTAGATATAAAAAAGTTGTAATTTTAGTTGCTCAATGTGAAACAAATACAAAGATTGCATAAAAATCAGTGGCGCACATTTTTTCTGTCAAAAATATTGGTTACAGTGCCTTCCGAGACGCCACTGGACATGATAATTTTGATATAGTTAGGTTTGAATTAGCCCTTTACGACCTTGAATAACACTGCCAAATTTCAATTAAATCGGTTGAAGGGTTATTAAGATATTTACGAAAAAAACGATTTCTTTTAAAAATTTTGACACCCTGTATCTTGGAAACGAAGCATTACCGGACCTATGTTTAAATGAACTTTTCGTCTTAGAATCACTCAAAGAATCACCCCTTCAAGTTTGGCCACGTACTTAAATAACACCCTGTATGTCTTTGATATATAAATTTATTTTTAACAACTGTTCTATCATAACTGATTTGACAGTAGGAAAACTAAAGATTGAAGATATCTGTTATAGTTATTATTTGTCCACGACTGTTGTATTTCGTCAAGCAGAACCATAGCAATTTTTCACAACAGTGAATAATAGCGGTGCATAATCATTATTCACGTTGCTGGTCTTGAGTTCCTTATGTTATATCGAGGACCCTAGGAACTCTAGACCAGTGATTTATGGTTATTCACTGCAATTATTCGATGATGTGAAAAATGGCTACCGTTTTGCTTAAGGAAATACATGTATCATGAATGTTGTATACAACACTCGTGGATGAAATGTATTATAACTGGCTTTTGAAAATTTTGCTCAATGGTGGGGAAACTTAAACATTCCACTGAATAATTATTCGCATTCCCCTATGGATCTCTATGTATAGATTCTGACAATCACTGTGATCAGGAGTAAATGCGCGGACATGGGATTATGTTATATGGTTCTCAATCATGATCACCATAATCACTGTGATAATATTTTTCATCGCATTTTCAATCTCAACTCTTTTGATTGGGTATAATGATAATACAAGAGTTTTTATCGAATCATTTTTTGCTCTTATCAATGTTGTACCTAACAAGGAACAAAATACACATTCCATCATTTTTATCATAAACCCACATTGCAACATGTATATTATACAAATAGAAGGATGAGATAGTGAAACTAATCAGTTATATAAGTAATCATATATTACAATAGATTTGAAGTGGACCATTCAGATTTCATTAAATTCAAATCCACGTGTTTGAGCTACCAATATTTCACACCTTCTCTTGAAGATGCCTTCCAAATTTAACAAAAACTGTCCATAACGATATTTTGGAATAGGAAGAAGGAATATTACAAAATATCTCTTTATATATTGTTCATCGAATCGTTACATATAGGAGTATCAAGAAATGACATTTGGCATCCTGGCAGTTACAGAGAATAGCAGTTGTGTTTCACTGTGATGGCCAGGCGAAGGATAGTCGGATGAGTCTCTTTTGATATGTTGCCATTTACATGCCCTATATGTAGCGATTGGACAAACAATCTATATGAACCTACTATACAATTCACACACCATATTATGGTGAAATTATTTTATCGGATATAGTTAATTGAGTAACACTTTCCATGGCCATTCGGGGTGATCATGAAATCTGAAAAAAAAAAAATTCATCAAATTATCTGGTAAAATTAATTGATATGTGAAGGATCTTCCTTGAGCAATAAGGAGTGAAGTGAATTTTTGAGTCCAATGTATTTCGATTCATGAAGAAAAAGAGGGCGTCAAAATATTCTCATATGAATTTCACTTAGTCAATCGATAATTTGTGCTCCAGACCAGGGATAAATAAAGAAACCTCAATATTTCATATTTCAGATCCTATAAAATAGGATGACTCGATGATAGCAAGACACAATTATTCGAAATATACTTGTTGGTTGAAAACAAAAGCGTATACAGTTTTCCAAACCTGAATATTCTGACATTAGAGGAACAATTTACTCAATTACATCTTCACTGAATCACAAAACACTTTCTACCTTGAGGACACAACATTTAGTTTGTCGAGTTCCTTGAGGAATTGTTCTATATTAGGTCCTATTCACTTAATCATCGATATTGATGAAATATTGAATGAAAATAATGGGAGACATGGTCAGAAGCCGTTTCAAATGATGAAAATACTACATCAATAGTGGATGAGGATTTAGATGTGTTATAGTTCTGAATTTGAATGAAATTAACTTGATGATTCATGACCAGAATATATTCGAGAAAACTGAGAATTTCTCCTCATAATACATCTGGAATTCATTAATTTGAATCATTGGAATATAAAATCAAATCTTGAAGTGAAATTATCATGAATGTATCATAGCTGAGAAAGAAGCGTTCCAATATCCATACGAAATATTATTGAAGGACATTTACATATCATACTACTAGCATCTTTTCATACAATCTATAGTGTAGCATGAAATGATTGAATGAGGTCGTCAGCCCCATCATTTATAGATAATAACATACAAAATATTCTATAAGGAGTAAGTAATTTTCATGAGAAAGTCATCAGCGTCATTGCATAGAGATTTTCTACTCACATCGGCATGGATTTGAGGTCTAAGATACGTTCCCCAATGTCAAGGTCATATAGGCCTTTCATATCCTCTGAATCAAGATTGAAATCATAGATATCGATGTTTTCTTTTATTCTAGAAGAGTTAACGCTCTTCGGTATGGCAACAATGTCCTGTTGCACGAGGAATCGAAGCAGTACTTGTCCACTAGATTTTCCGTGTTTTCCAGCGATTTTCTTCACGAGTGGGTTCTGCAGCAAATTGGGCAATTCTTTTTCCCTGAAATAACCAAAAAAATAGATGCAATATGCGAAATACTGTCGTGGTAGGTACATTCATTATTCCAAAACCAGAAATTGAAGAACAATCGTCAAACAATTGTATTTACAGTATACCTTGTTAAACGCAGTGACATTTTGGGGCAAATCATCTGATTTTCCACTACAAATGATTTGAAATAATACGAATATTTTCATTTTACAGAAACGAGGAGAGAAAATCCCAAAGAATCGGGTAAAATGAGTATACCTTGTGTTTGTGGAATGTTTTATACAGGTGAAACCAAGAGAATTGTTTTAGTAAGGACGAAGGAACCATAAGTACAATATAAAGAAAAGACATATCGACAAATCGAAACATGCTGAATATATCCTTACTGAAGATTGACAACATATGGCAGAGTGGAATAAAAATAAAATCATTGGAAAAGAATATAACAACAAGAAGAGAAAAATCAAGAAATGTGCTTGCATTCTTCTGAAGGGAGACAATAGCATTGCTTCCAGTTCAGTTGGTATAGATAGAACATGTTAGTCACTATTGAAATATGAAAATAAAAATGGTACATTCAAGATTAATTAATGAAAACATCCTGGTACTCATTTGATTGCCAACGTCACCAATTGTCACTGAGAACTGAAAAGTGTCAGGACAAATATACGAATTTGCGATACAAACATTCCTTTTTCGTATTGAAAACAGGAGCAGAATCGTTCGCGAAACGTCCAAAGCTAAGTAAAAATTTGATATATTTTTCATATAGGTACATTCATTCCTCTTCTCAAAATTTTTTCAATACGAAATGCCACTGACACTAGTGAATTTTTTTTTCAGGCTTTCTGATAGGAACATTCTCCAAACGCAGTGACATTTTGGGACAAATCATCTGATTTGTCTTCACAACGCGTATATTGAAATAATCATATTTCCACTTTATAGAAACGATGAAAGAAAATCTCAAAAAATCTGGAATAATGAATGCGATATGTAGCAAGAATAGATTCAAAGTTGTACACTCCATATATCAGTAATTAGTTATTAAATTTTTCTCCACAAGCTGGTCAACTCCAAGATAGGGTTCAGTTCTGGGCTGATCATGTTTATATTCCAAAATCAGAGTCACAGGAAATAATAGCTCATTTCATCACACGATGCATCACACGAATGTATGTGTGAATTCACCTACCCGTCAACTAGAAAAAATGCATGATTTTTATATTCCTCATTGATCTGTTTTGTTTATCTCTAACTACGACCAGACGATTAGCGATCGAGGTCTTCTTTTGAATGAAATTTGATTCATTGTTTTTTTTTTCGAAATTTTGCATCATACAACTATTGATCATCGTCGGATAGATTAGTGACAAGTCAGGAATATATTTCCATTATAATCACGTGTGACCATATTTTGTGATTGGGATGTTAACTCATCCTGTTGAAATTTCTTGAAAATAAATAATGACAAGAGGGCATGATTTCATTCCTCTTTCCGTATATAAAGGGGTATCAAGCGATACTTTCGATTTTCAAGGACATTCGATTCTCTATCCTACACCGCTTCGTTTGTTCAAATCGACCAAGACGTTTCAAACTTACAAGATAAAATTAACCTCGGAAACATTTAAGAACACTGAGAAAACTATAGGCCAAGTAAATATGCTGTAACAAGAACATTTCCACCAACGGTAGGAAAATGAGGTACATATTGCTGAAACAATCTTCCTGATGTAATTGATCAGGACAATTGTTGGTATTAACCAAATCGGTATGTAGGTATTTTGAGGTCGCTAATCATTAGTGGATACTAAAATAGTGCTAGTTAAATGAATACTCGCCAATATTAAGCGAACTTATCGATGAAGACAATCTATCGAGTCGATTGGTGCAGGTTATATACATCTTTTTGCAGTTCGGACATTTCCGATATATTATTCGGGTGTCCTCATCAGTTCCACTATGATGTTAGCATTTGTGAAGTAAACATGCATTGTCGCTTGTATAATTCAAATTCCAACTACTATATCATATTCGTGAAGATTCTCAGTATGTGTGCCGCGCTCTGAGCTGTGGGGTATTGAGTTCTCGATCTTTTGTTCTTCTGAAGGAAAGAATGAATTACATAGCTCTCCTAGAACAGGACATCATTGTTGACATCATAAACAGGATTCTTTATTCCACTCCGATGATACTCGAAGTGAGGGAAAATGACATTTAATGAGCATGGAACTTAATTTCACTTCAACATTCTCATCTACCTCACTGAAGAGAGAACGGGTGTATACGAGTGCATATGATGGACCGTTTTTCCCAGCTCATTATCCTGATATACCCGGTATGTATAGTGTATCAATATTTGTCGTCAGCCTCACCTTTATGTGATTTCTTGATCCATCATAGCTATACAATAAATGCACGAATGTTGGTCTCTTTAGTAAGGTTATCATTTTTCAGAGAACGATATAAGTAATGTTCCATAGTACCTAGCCAATGACAGGTAAATAAATCACTAATGACATGTGGATAGGTCACTGATGACGAGCTAGTAAGTTACTAATGACATGTGATCAGGTCACTAGTGAAAAGTGAACAAGTCACTAATGACAAGTGAATAAGTCACAAATGACGAGTGCTGTATTCACTATTGATGATCAATCTGAAATTTAATGGAACAGGTTACTAGTGATAGTGGTACATTTTCACGAGCACAAATATTCTTGTGGCTATTAACTTGTATTCATGGCCCAAATAGTATACAAGTTTTTACTTGCCACTATTGAATATTTAGGTACCCAGGGTAAGTGATTTTTGTTCTTCGTGAACGTTCGAAATTCATCCCGGAACCTCCTTTTTTCTATCTAAAAGTGGATGGTGAACATTTCGAGCATTCTCGAAGACTCTTTTCAATTGTCACTCGAATTTTTTTTGCAATCAAAACTTATTCAGGTTTTTTATTCATTCATGAAATATTTGAAGCTTGTCAGTTTGAAACGGCTTGCCCAATCTGCACAAACGGAGCGGTGTTGGTACCCTCTCGACACTATTGGCCACTTGACCACAATCATTTTTATGGAAAAAAAAGTTACTTTCCACCTGTATTCTACTCGAACTCGATAGCTTATTCTTTTCAGAAGTTAAGCAGGAGGAGAACTTTTCACGTCTTTTCTTGAAAGCGACGGGAGATGCACAATGGCACGATGCATTTTAGGTGACTTAAATTCGGGTGAACATTTTTTTTTTACCTTCATCTGTATCTGAAGTATGCGTTGTTGAACTTACCCTTTTCCCGTACTCTTCAAAAACTTATTGTAACCAGGACTACCCAATGGAGAGAAGGCAACCACAACAATTCCATTTTGCTGACAGAAACGCACCAGTTCCTGCTGTTGCAAAAGCACATGCAATTCGATTTGTAAACAGGCTGGCTTGATTGTCGATGACTTGATTACTTTTTCGATCTGTTTCTGGTTGAAATTGGATAGACCAATTGCTCTGGCTCTGCCGGCGTCGACCTGTTGTTCCATTTTCTGAAGCAAAATTGATGATTGTTGGATTCATCCTCCATTCAATGCACTGGTCATCAAATAATTGAGAATCTGGTCGAATAATCTATTATATTGAGTGTCGTATCTCAGAGAGGTTCGTTACCAGGGATCATATCTCCAAGTGATCTCCACAATTTTAATAGTGAATGATATTACACAGACATCCCAACAACAAGAAAACCCACTTATATGAAGAAGAAAAAAAGACGAGTTGTAATTACCAATGTTATAAGCATAGTTAAATACAACTCTTTCCAACTTCGTTCTCCATGTAGGTCTTTCGGAGCATATGTATAATCAGGTTTCGATAGTGTTACGCTCGATACATGTATATACGATTGTTATGATGTCTGAGTAATACCATTCACTATTGAATTTGTGGAGTTTCGAAGTCCCTCATCGCAGGAAGCGTTGATTGCTATAGTTTGATCAGTAAGAGCAGAGCAGTAGAATAGAATCAAACTGAGATGATTATAATGTTTCATAAAAACCGGAAACAACAAGTCATAAGATTTGCATATCAAGAACTAAGAATTCATGTCATGTAAATTATCTGACATGATTCATCTATCCTCACATGAATTTGCCAAATTTCCTAGAATGGAGCAATCTATTATGAATAGTTCTTGTGAATCCTAAGATATGATGAAGTTTACTTCCTTGCGAAGGAATAATGGCTGAATAGAAAGCTCTAGAGACATATGAAACATATGTAATGGTGAGAGAAACAGTTATGCGCAAAGTTGGCTTATATGGACCACGTCCTGGTTCATCAAAGCAATTTACGCCTGCAGAAAATACATTTTATGTAACAATATTTTATGCATGACCTGCGTCAGAGAGATTGATTTCTCAAAGACATACGGGTTGTCTGCTATTTTGCTGAAAGTTTGCACAATTTTCGCGTTCCTTCCAGTAGGGGTCGAATGATATGCTCAAGGCATGGATATCCTTCTCTAGCAATCGGAATTCGGAGTTCCGAGATCGGGGAATCACTCAAAATTTTGCCAACGCCATACGCCGTCAGTTGACGGTTTCACTCTTCACTCTTCACTCTTCACTCTTCACTCTTCACTCTTCACTCTTCACTCTTCACTCTTCACTCTTCACTCTTCACTCTTCACTCTTCACTCTTCACTCTTCACTCTTCACTCTTCACTCTTCACTCTTCACTCTTCACTCTTCACTCTTCACTCTTCACTCTTCACTCTTCACTCTTCACTCTTCACTCTTCACTCTTCACTCTCCACTCTCCACTCTTCACTCTTCACTCTTCACTCTTCACTCTCCACTCTTCACTCTTCACTCTTCACCCTTCCTTCACTCTTCACTCTTCACTCTTCACTCTCACTCTTCACTCTTCACTCTTCACTCTTCACTCTTCACTCACTCTCACTCTTCACTCTTCACTCTTCACTCTTCACTCTTCACTCTTCACTCTCCACTCTTCACTCTTCACTCTTCACTCTTCACTCTTCACTCTTCACTCTTCACTCTTCACTCTCCACTCTCCACTCTTCACTCTTCACTCTTCACTCTTCACTCTTCACTCTTCACTCTTCACTCTTCACTCTTCACTCTTCACTCTTCACTCTTCACTCTTCACTCTTCACTCTTCACTCTTCACTCTTCACTCTTCACTCTTCACTCTTCACTCTTCACTCTTCACTCTTCACTCTTCACTCTCACTCTTCACTCTTCACTCTTCACTCTTCACTCTTCACTCTTCACTCTTCACTCTTCACTCTTCACTCTTCACTCTTCACTCTTCACTCTTCACTCTTCACTCTTCACTCTTCACTCTTCACTCTTCACTCTTCACTCTTCACTCTTCACTCTTCACTCTTCACTCTTCACTCTTCACTCTTCACTCTTCACTCTTCACTCTTCACTCTTCACTCTTCACTCTTCACTCTTCACTCTTCACTCTTCACTCTTCACTCTTCACTCTTCACTCTTCACTCTTCACTCTTCACTCTTCACTCTTCACTCTTCACTCTTCACTCTTCACTCTTCACTCTTCACTCTTCACTCTTCACTCTTCACTCTTCACTCTTCACTCTTCACTCTTCACTCTTCACTCTTCACTCTTCACTCTTCACTCTTCACTCTTCACTCTTCACTCTCCTTCACTCTTCACTCTTCACTCTTCACTCTTCACTCTTCACTCTTCACTCTTCACTCTTCACTCTTCACTCTTCACTCTTCACTCTTCACTCTTCACTCTTCACTCTTCACTCTTCACTCTTCACTCTTCACTCTTCACTCTTCACTCTTCACTCTTCACTCTTCACTCTTCACTCTTCACTCTTCACTCTTCACTCTTCACTCTTCACTCTTCACTCTTCACTCTTCACTCTTCACTCTTCACTCTTCACTCTTCACTCTTCACTTTCACTCTTCACTCTTCACTCTTCACTCTTCACTCTTCACTCTTCACTCTTCACTCTTCACTCTTCACTCTTCACTCTTCACTCTTCACTCTTCACTCTTCACTCTTCACTCTTCACTCTTCACTCTTCACTCTTCACTCTTCACTCTTCACTCTTCACTCTTCACTCTTCACTCTTCACTCTTCACTCTTTACTCTTTACTCTTCACTCTTCACTCTTCACTCTTCACTCTTCACTCTTTACTCTTTACTCTTTACTCTTTACTCTTTACTCTTTACTCTTTACTCTTTACTCTTTACTCTTTACTCTTTACTCTTTACTCTTTACTCTTTACTCTTTACTCTTTACTCTTTACTCTTTACTCTTTACTCTTTACTCTTTACTCTTTACTCTTTACTCTTTACTCTTTACTCTTTACTCTTTACTCTTTACTCTTTACTCTTTACTCTTTACTCTTTACTCTTTACTCTTTACTCTTTACTCTTTACTCTTTACTCTTTACTCTTTACTCTTTACTCTTTACTCTTTACTCTTTACTCTTTACTCTTTACTCTTCACTCTTCACTCTTCACTCTTCACTCTTCACTCTTCACTCTTCACTCTTCACTCTTCACTCTTTACTCTTTACTCTTTACTCTTTACGCTTTACTCTTTACTCTTTACTCTTTACTCTTTACTCTTTACTCTTCACTCTTCACTCTTCACTCTTCACTCTTCACTCTTCACTCTTCACTCTTCACTCTTCACTCTTCACTCTTCACTCTTCACTCTTCACTCTTCACTCTTCACTCTTCACTCTTCACTCTTTACTCTTTACTCTTCACTCTTCACTCTTCACTCTTCACTCTTTACTCTTTACTCTTCACTCTTCACTCTTCACTCTTCACTCTTCACTCTTCACTCTTCACTCTTCACTCTTCACTCTTCACTCTTCACTCTTCACTCTTCACTCTTCACTCTTCACTCTTCACTCTTCACTCTTCACTCTTCACTCTTCACTCTTCACTCTTCACTCTTCACTCTTCACTCTTCACTCTTCACTCTTCACTCTTCACTCTTCACTCTTCACTCTTCACTCTTCACTCTTCACTCTTCACTCTTCACTCTTCACTCTTCACTCTTCACTCTTCACTCTTCACTCTTCACTCTTCACTCTTCACTCTTCACTCTTCACTCTTCACTCTTCACTCTTCACTCTTCACTCTTCACTCTTCACTCTTCACTCTTCACTCTTCACTCTTCACTCTCCACTCTTCACTCTCCACTCTTCACTCTTCACTCTTCACTCTTCACTCTTCACTCTTCACTCTTCACTCTTCACTCTTCACTCTCACTCTTCACTCTCACTCTTCACTCTTCACTCTTCACTCTTCACTCTTCACTCTTCACTCTTCACTCTTCACTCTTCACTCTTCACTCTTCACTCTTCACTCTTCACTCTTCACTCTTCACTCTTCACTCTTCACTCTTCACTCTTCACTCTTCACTCTTCACTCTTCACTCTTCACTCTTCACTCTTCACTCTTCACTCTTCACTCTTCACTCTTCACTCTTCACTCTTCACTCTTCACTCTTCACTCTTCACTCTTCACTCTTCACTCTTCACTCTTCACTCTTCACTCTTCACTCTTCACTCTTCACTCTTCACTCTTCACTCTTCACTCTTCACTCTTCACTCTTCACTCTTCACTCTTCACTCTTCACTCTTCACTCTTCACTCTTCACTCTTCACTCTTCACTCTTCACTCTTCACTCTTCACTCTTCACTCTTCACTCTTCACTCTTCACTCTTCACTCTTCACTCTTCACTCTTCACTCTTCACTCTTCACTCTTCACTCTTCACTCTTCACTCTTCACTCTTCACTCTTCACTCTTCACTCTTCACTCTTCACTCTTCACTCTTCACTCTTCACTCTTCACTCTTCACTCTTCACTCTTCACTCTTCACTCTTCACTCTTCACTCTTCACTCTTCACTCTTCACTCTTCACTCTTCACTCTTTTTCCTCAGACTTCTTTCGTGGTCTCGAGCAGTTCTGTTTTATGTGTCATCTTGTTACCCACCATTTTCAAGAGATTGTCGTTTTCGAACCGTGTCAAATCGTACATTTTATAAAAACATTCTCGTTTCAATTGGTATATATATATGTGTTGGAATATGGCAGGCCTCACGTACAGGGTTATCCATCGAGAAGGCCCACCCCCATATTTTCCTTATACTTTCACTTAGAAAAAAAAATAATGTGCGGAAATTTAATGCCGCTATGAGACCTTCCTAAGGCATTCATCAGAGGTTATACAGGGTGATTCCTAAAAGCGTGGCAAACCACAAATCAATTTTTTTAAATGGAACACCCTGTTTTTTATATTTTTTTCGAGATCTGTGATCTTTTGCGATCACGAATATATGAATATACAGTATGTTATCTCTTACTGTTTTTCGTTAATTAAAATTTTTGTGGTCCAGAACCAAAATTTGTTTGTGATGGCATCAAAATAAATCGAGTAAGCTTTGAAACCGAACCTATTTGACATGTCGTGTCCCCATGTTACCGTCACAAAATACGTTCGAAAACTGTTTAGTTATTTTGTGTGTCGTAATTTGTCGAAATGTTCACAATCGCAGAAAGATATGATATAATGTCTTTATACATAAAAAATAACAAAAACGCTTCAGAGGGTGAACAATTACAAAATTCATCAGGTAAATATATAATTTCTGATTGAACATTCTACCTCGGAGAGAATATGCCCGATTATACCCTGAACGAGCTTTACCTAATAGAAGAACTTTTCAAAAATTGAACAGTAAACTTGAATCCACTGGAAAACTAACCACTTAGAAAAAATGTTTCAGGGAAACGAAGAGCGCGAGTTGAATTTTTTATTATATTTTCAAGAAAATCCCAACTGTTTTTTGACTAGTGCTGTGCGGACTTTGGGTTGTTCCTATGGCACCATACACAGGGTTTTGAAAAGAAATAAATTCAAAGCATATAAAATCATGCCAGTGCAAAAATTTAGCGATGCTCAAATACATAATAGGTTAAATTATCGTAGGTATATGATTGGTAGGTTAGAAGAAGATCCTAACTTTTTTAAAAATATATTGTGGACCGACGAAGCTACAATCACAACAGCGGGAATATTCAACAGACAGAATAGTAGACACTGGGCGTCAGAGAATCCCAATAAAATTTCTCAAATTGAAGTTCAGGGAAGGCAATCAGTACACGTCTGGTGTGGACTTTTTGACCAAAAAATAATTGACCCCATTCTATACAATGGCAATCTTAATGGAATAATTCACTACCATTTCCTAACAAATGAAATAAGAAATTGTTTACGACAAGCCGACCTACCTCAAAATATTATATGGCAGTAAGATGGGGCTCCTCCGCACAATTCAAGGGACGTGAGAGAGTTTCTGAATGCCCAATACCATGAATGGATTGGGAGGTTCGGAACTATTTCTTGGCCAGCAAATAGTCTAGATCTGACGCCACTAGATACTTTTTTATGGGGCTACTTGAAAAATAAAATTCATAGTGAACTAACTGAGAATATTAACGAACTTAGATATAAGAAAATCGAAGAAATTGATTGTTTGAATAGGGATAGCGCTCGGGAATAATAGCAAAATCAATCATCAATCTAGAAAAAAGGTATATGCTTTGCTGTGACCATCAAGGGCAGCATTTTTGTAGTTAGAGGTATATGAGTTCTGTAATTTAAATTTTGTCTGTAAGATTGAATTTGTTACAATCAATATAATATTCATGATCGTTATGATTAAATAATTGTTAGAAAAGTTTTTGATTATTTTCAATAAGTGGTCACGATGTTTCTGCTTGTATTCGATAATGTATACATGTAACGGCGAAACTTTGGAATTCTTTGCCAATAGAAGAATTCCCGAGAACTTATAACCTCCAAAAGTTCAAAAAAAAATTCAACACCTACCACATCTCCCTATCCTCCCTAGGTATGCACGATTTTCGATGTTGTTCGAACATTATAGGAATTTCCTTCCGTGCGCTCCAATAGATGAAAAAAAAATAACGGAAGTCGAATACATTCTCAATCATGGATAACTCTATAGTTGCACGATAAAGATGCCATCCCACACAAAATGTTGTTCTGGGTCCAGGAAAATTGTGATTAAAGAAAAACAGTGGAAGATAACATACTGTATATGTATATATATGTGATCGCAAAAGATCACAGATCTCGAAAAAAATATAAAAAACAGGGTGTTCCATTCAAAAAAAAAAATGATTTGTGGTTTGCCACGCTCTTAGGAATCACCCTGTATAACCTTTGATGAATGCCTTAGAGAGGTCTCATTGCGGCATTAAATTTCCGCATATAATTTTTTTTCTAAGTTGAAGTATAACGAAAATATGGGGGTGGGCCTTCTCGATGGATAACCCTGTACATTCATGGGAATGATGAACTAGTTGATATGTGTCCATCTTCGTGGTCACAGGTATATGATGTACTTTCTGGTTTGTTCACTACTGTTTCTGGATATCGGAAACCGATACATTTTACGTGAAAGAATTGACAACGTGAATCTCTAGATGCAGCAACGAGATAGTTTTCATATTTCAGCTTTCGCGAGTCATTACTACGTCGTACGAGACTACATGAATTGTAGTGGCGAATTGTAGTGGCGAATTGTTTGAGCATCCATTGTGTATTTCTCCATTATCAAACACGCGTTGAAGTTCTTGTTTCAAAATGAAGTGACACTATTCAGTTGTTCACTGAATTTCGTCAAAGAAATCGGCATGCCCAGCTGATTCACAGGACAAGTGGGCGCACAATGGGCCCGACTGAAGAGGCCTGAGTGCAGGGGTCTACGCACCCGCCCACCTGTGCAGAGAAGAAGAAGAAGAAGAAGAAGAAGAAGAAGAAGAAGAAGACACTATTCAGTGTCTCCATTCCGAAATAATTTGAAACCTGGCATCAGTGCGGCAGCAGTGCGAATGTCGAGACAAATGCTGATTTGCGCCAAACCAGTGCATCTCAAACTATGGTAAGTAGAACTACATAATTTTCAAATATTTTTGACTGACTACAACACTCCATTTTGAGAATCACTCCAAGTTCAGGAACATCCTGTATTGTCCTCATGACTATTGAAGCTTACCTTCCAAATTTCAACGTGATTTGATGGTTCCAACTTCATTTGATCTGGTGGAGGCCACACATATCCTTCTACGTAATTAGTGCCAATTGGAAAATGGATCAGATACAAATCAACGTAATCCAGCTTCAGATTTTCCAGTGACTTTTTCATGAACATCTCTACTCTATCTTCGTGTACTCCGCTTATTGGCAGCTTAGTGGTGATAAAAAGCTCCTCTCTTTTCACCTTACCGGATGACAGCCACTGGTTCAGTACTCTGCCAATGATAGCTTCGTTGGAGTAAGCGAACGCCGTATCAATGTGACGATAGCCAGCTTCTAGAGCTGCGTTCAACGCTTTCTCTAATTCTGCTTCCTCTGTTACCTGAAACATAATTAGTTCATAACAGCAAAGCAGCAGGGAGAATAATGTATGACTGCGACAGTACATCAAGGATGCATAGTTATCCTCGTTAATCTACGTTCCTACTGTCACCAATGATGTTTTGGTCCATCAAGTCTCATCAGATACACTCGGTCTTCTGAATATTGATATAACCCAATTCACTAGTGCAATCATGATCGAAGACAAATGCTACATGGAGTTTAAGTGAAAGGTAATTGATGAGAATTGTATTCATAGGTGAATGATGGAAAGATGTTAACAAAAGAAGTTCTTGCATAAATGCGCTCTTGTTTCAACTGAAGTTGGCGACGAAACAAACTGATTTACTGAAATTCAAATTTTTCCTTTGGCTACCAGCTGAAGTTTTTTGTATCTCTTGAAGCGGACGAGAGAAAATCCCTATAATGTTTGTGGAACAGGTAGGTATCGGATTTTTTGGAACGTTATGAGGTCTAAGTGCTGGGGAATACTACCATTGGCAAAGTATTCTAAAGTTCCGCCGTTTTATAGATAATGCAAATTGATGGATCAGAATATAAGGGTACTATCGAGTAGTATTCTTCTCTTGATGATGATATGAATACTATTTGAGTTATTTACAGAAAGTGCATCTTTGTCAATATATCATCAGTATATTTCCATTAATAATCGAACCATGACAAATAATAGTTATATTTACACCAAGGTATTGAGGCATGAATGTTGTGAAGCAGCAGATGGAAATCTCAAACAAAAAAATTAATTGAATTTGTGTAAGGCATACAAAAATTCTCAATAGATAAAATATTGAGTAAATAGAATTATTCAAAATTGTCTTCACTACATTCTACACACTCTGTTGAATTTGATATTGCCTATTACTCCTCGACTATAGAGTTTTGGACAGAATTGAATCAGGTACTTTCGACTCGAAATTGTTCATGGAATATCCCCTTGAGCAATTGGCAATGGGCAATGAACACTCTCAATTTCAATCATTATAGTTCTGTGAAACTGAAATATTGACCTTCTGTCACTATGGAAGCCCTTCTTTTTAACTCTTCTTGAAATCTGGTAGTCATGACCAGGACAGGAGAATATAACAAGTTGTTATTGATAGATTCCTACTAGATTCGAATACCTGCGAATCTCGCCTCAGAACAGTGAATTTGGGTTAATCATAAGCTATGTCTTAATTGACTAGTAGTCACACTTCACGCCTTGAAAAAGAGTATATTGAAGATTTTGAAGAGAATAAAAATAGTTCGATCACCTAATGAAGTTGACACAGAGGAGGATCCAGGAGATGATTGAGGGAGGATGGCAATATGGTAGGTTCTGTAGCTAGTTGTGCGAAAACACTAATACAACACTCAATCCACTTATACAGTGTGTCCATTTAGTGCGTAATTCTTCGATATCTCGCAAGCCATAACCTATAGAGAAACAATTTGGAAGAAAAAGTTCTTCAGTTACTAAAATTGCTCATTTCAAAATTATTTTCAACATTACTGGGTGTTTTATAAAAGCAGGGCAACTCGAAGAAGAGTTTTTTTAAATGGAACACCCAGTATTTTTCATTCGGAATTAATTCCGCCGAGGTTCACCTTCACATCGCTGTAAAAAAAATTTAAATCGTTTGCGGCGTTGCCAAGTTATAATTAATAAATCTATTTTTACCATTATTGAAGAGTCATGTTGAATTGGGCATGGTATCTTCATTTATTCAAATTTTGAAAATATTTTTGGCATACAGTAGTAGCAAGTTCCCACGTATACCAATCCAGTAATTTCGCGACATGTTCATTCCGACATCTTCCGCCTTTTTATCGCTGGAAAAAAAATCGGAATCGGTTGCGGCGTTGTCAAGTTATGGTTAATTTCCTTATTTTTACTACTATTTCGAGGTAATTAGTACGTCATAGTTCTTTCATTAAATTGTATTGTGGAAATATTGCGTTGCTACGGTATAATCAAATCTGTTCATTGACCATTCATATATTTTTTACAAAAGAAACATTTACAGGCTCTTCAAGTTTGAATTTTATTCGAAATATTTGTGTATGACCTGTCAAACATCGCCACAATCAAATATATGGATTGATTAGACATTTTGCTGAATTACCTCCCAAAAGCCTTGTAGAAGAGACATATTGTTTGTATCATTATGTTTACCTTCATCAAGTTAAATGGAGATTTGGATTGTGGGAATAACGACAATAAAAATGGTCAAATTTCAAAAAAATTTCCCAATTTTCGCAATCCGCATCTTCATTGTTTGTATTGTAGAAGTTGTTTCAAAGACAGGCGTTGCTTTTGGCATGTTTGTTTGTTTCACATATTATTTGAATCATAAGTAACAAGATAACGAAATGTTTCAAATTTGGACGATGCACATATCACAAAAATAACTGAATGATCTATAATCAAATTAAGGAATCATCATATGACGTACAAATTACCCCGAAATAGTAGTAAAAATACTATTTACTCATGACTTGAAAACGCCGCAATCGATTTTGATTTTTTTTTCTGCGATGAAGAGGCGAATGATGTCGAAATAAATCTGTGATGAAAAATACAGGGTGTTCCATTTGAAAGATTCTTATGATCGTCGTCTGAATCTTCCAATATTCAGAATGTAAATTTTAGCACCCTGTAGAGGATTATCTCGCAAGAATACTGGATTGGTATATGTGAGACCTTGCTACTACTGTATGCCAAAAATATTTTCGAAATTTCAATAAATAAATATACCATACCCAATTGAACATGACCCTTCAATAGTAGTAAAAATGGGTTTATCAATTATAACTTGGCAACGCCGCAACCAAATTCAAATTATTTCACAGCGATGTACTGTGCTTGAGCGGAATAAATTTCGAATGAACAATACTGGGTGTTCCATTTGAAATAACTCGTCTTCGAGTTGCCCCGCTTTTATAAAACACCCAGTATTGCTGGATATATTTTCGAAAAGAGCAACTTCAGTAACTGAAAAAGTTTTTTCCCCAAAGTTTTTCTCTTGTGATAATTGATTTCGAGATATCGAAGAATTACGCACTAAATGGACACACTGTATACATGTATCCCAATTGATGCAGGCTTATCCTCAAAATCAGCTCAAACAGCTTGGCTATATCGGCTCCATTGCCAGTTACAATTCTCTCACGTTCTGGATTGCACGAAAGGAAATCCCTATTTTGTTCGAGTATGTAGGCATGGAATTGTTTATGTTCATTTTGTGGGAGTTTTTGAGAATACTTTCCTAGGCATCAAAGATTTGTATTCCTAGTGACAACTAGGATTTCTGCACATAATTTCCTTATGGTACATCTGAAACGTTGCCGACTTTTTCGTGGTATTACGAAGATGGTGTGAAACATGTGAGTGTCGCTTCACCAGCAAAGTGAATATCTCGCTTCTGAATGAAATCGGAGAGCACTAGCTATATTTGGGTGTTGAACCAGCTTTGCAGATCGTGGAGAACTGTTAGGGTTAGAAGATTGTTGTACGAAGGATATCCATGGAGGATACAGATATTGTGGACGTTCTGGAAATGTTGACATTCAGATATTCAACATCTTGTACAAGTCAGGTGTTTCATCTAGTATTGAAACATCTGAGTTAAGTCCCACCAATCCCTAAAAATGGAAAGATAGAGTCTTTCCCTCTGTTATCAGTTATCTCTAAAGTCGACATTTAGCTTATCAAACACCTGAAAAGCTCATCATTCCTGATGCAAAATATTGCTTTTGCTATTGAACATCAACTGAAGATTCACTCGCGTACGTTGCCATCCATAAATTGCGGTAACATTATGGAGAATCACTTGCTGTGGCGTCAGCTATATCGAAAGCATTCGACCGTGTTTGGCACCAAGGACATCTCCACGAAATACCATCATACTGTTCACCACCCCAGCTATGCCTTCTCTTGTCGAGTTTTATCTCAGGCAGATCCTATCGCCTGATACCATAGCCCTCCATTCTTGCGTTCCACAAGCAACAACATCTTCCCAGCCAGCACAAAGAGGTCCTAAAGATATCTTGAAGAAATCCTTTTAGGAAATTGTGATGCCTTTTGTAACTTCTTTGAGAGATCGCCGAGAGTGCTATATCTAGGCCAAATGTCCGCCACCTAGGCTGAGCTCAGCGAGGTCTTGAAGATATCGCACGCAGAAATTCTCATACAATGCCCTCAGGCGCGCACTTTGAGATATACGCTTCCATCGCCACTGGCGATAACTGAAAGTGCTCGCAATCATGAGCTGTTTGAGAAATTCTCATACATTGCTTTGTGACGAGGACATTGGGAGATTCGCATCAATTGCTTCTGTCGAGGTCTTTAAGTGCTCGCGACTACGAGCTGTTTGAGATTTTCGCACGCATCGCCTTGTGAAGAGAACTTTGGGAAATTCGCATCAATTACTAATAGTGCTCGCAACTATGAATTGGTCAAGAATCCGTGCACATCACCTTATAACGAGGCCTTTAAGAGCGATATTTGCATCAATCGCCACATGATCGCCACTAATATGGTAAGGTATTCAATGTTTGAGAAGTCATTGGTTATCAGCAGTCTCCAGTCGGCGAAGTCTAACTAGCGCCAGCTATATTGTTTGGGGTGGAGTTGAATTTACTGGATATTTGTTTCAGCGAAAAAGATTGAGTTACCAAACTTTAGAGTTAGATCAACGTAATGAGCTTTAATTATATATTATTCTATAGCAAGACATTGATCAAGTAAACTTTATCACTTGAAAAAATCTCCGAGGAGTTGGCCGGGTATCCTTTAAAAAAAAGGTCGTCCGATATCTACCCACGAATTTGAGGTAGATATTTGATTCTCGATCCCACCTGAATTAGAACATTTTTGTCTTTTTCGTCAGAGCAGATGATTAATTATCATTAATTCACTGCACAATTTGAAATAATCAGTAAGCAAATCTAGTATCTAGTATACAATTATTATTATCATAGATTAATGACTCCCATTTCATGTTAATACTGGGTGTCCCAAGTTATCGTAAAGGTACCGGCAAAAACTTGCTTACTCGACAAGATGAACAAAAAATAATAAAAATGCTTCAAATGACATCAGAGAACTTTCTTTATGACTCAAAAAAAAGTGTATAAGATTGGACAGCCACTCCTCAATTTTCATTTAATGGACTCCCTGTATATTGTCATTGAAAATTGCCAATCATCCTATTTCGGGAATGAACGATAGCACACCGGTACTTTGTATTTTGTTCATTAATAACAACATTAACAATAAAAATTTTTGACCTCATTTACGTTACATCGATTGAAAATTGCCTCCTCCCATGTTCGTAAAAATGTCCCACAATGAAATTAGATTAATTATTACACTAGGTAGGTACCGTCTGCCATGATCGATGTTCTGCAGTTCGAAATGGAATATCTGTCATTGATATTTTGAAACAAAAATGCAATCCCTACTCCTTATTTGTGAACTTCTTGAACACATGGGTGAAAGCAATTTGTCGTTGTATTCCAAATAGATTGACACGCAATTTTCAGAGACAATATGCTACTAGATCAGTATCTACCATCCGGGGGCTGCCAAATATATCACATTCTTCATGAGCCATTAGGAAGGTTATTTGATGCCATTTAATGCAGTTTTTTAATGCTTTTGATATCTTGACAAATAGGCGAGATATTGCCTGTAAACGATAACTTGGGACATCCAGTATTTGAATTATGAAGGCTATTGAAGAAAACAACTCAATATTTTTTGTAGGAATATTCATTAATTATTCAGGTTATGTTTGTGATTACTTTAGGAGCTCGCAATGGGAAATTCTCGATCTTGTTACGTCCAGGATATCCTTAGGTGCTCGCAGAAAGAAATGCCTATTCATTTCCTGTTATAGATAGCCTCAAGGATTCGCAATAATGAGGAATATATCAAATCTGAGGCGAGATCTCCGCGATTTCTTTCGGACGACTCCAGAGAGTATTTCCCATGGTGACAGCCTATAGTGATCTTTGATACCTCGCAGAAGGATTTCGCATTTTGATCCTGAAGATAACTACTTAGAGATATCGCGGAGAGTACCGTGTTACCTGGGATTGGCACTAACAGGGTTCCAACCCCATATTGACGATCTGTTAGGTGTTACCTCGTGCCCTATATTCACAGCTTTGCAGATGATAGTATATTCTCCATGCAGTATATCCTTCCACATCACCATTGCCTTTCAAGAAACTGAGAACTCACGACGAAGATAGGTCAACGGTAGTCAATAAAGATCTTGCAAGAATTATAGACTGTGGAACCAGCAACTTAGTTGAATTCAACGCTACCAGAACTTAAGCCGTTTTTTTCCTCAAGGAAGGTGTAAGTGAGTGTGCCTTCTATATCAATGTCCCATTTCCACTAAGTCCACTATATCTAAGATCGGTATCCACATCAGCGAAACTCTTCCAGGAAAAATCATGTCAGATCCATTACGAAAGATGATACGACCCGTTTTTGATAGTGTTCCCACAATGGGGTTCAGCACCCAAACATACGCTGATGCTCATAGATTCCATCCAGAGTCGATTCATTCGTCTGGTGGGTGATGCCACAATCACTGATTTCTTGACATCTTCGGAACATCGTAGATAAGTTGGCGACCTCTCACGATCACGAGAAATGTTTCTGCTATCATCCAATCACTTGAAACACCGCAGTGAGACGTAGTCGACAAGCCCAGTCAGAATATCCTTCTGTAAGTCAACTTCGAAATATTTCAGAAACGTCGTTTGTCCAATCAACGGCACTGCTGTGGAATGAAGTATTCCTGAGAATGATGTTTGTCTTCTACATAGCGAATACACAGACTCGAGTTTTGGTAGCATCAAATTCAACCAAGTTACTGGTTCTTGAAGCTGAAATTTCATTCGAATCTTGATCAATTCCGTTTACCTGTGTTTATCGTGGGTTCCCAGTTTCTTGGGATGGAATGATAATTCAGAACAAAAAAGCAATATGAAGACTACTGATACAGAGCTATATTTGGTAACCCCCAACTTATCACTAATATAAAGAAGGAGAACATGGTTCCATCTCTGTACTTTTTTGTCGTTTTTTCCTCCTCGTATAGATGAGATAGATTCTAACCACAGATATATCGAAATTATTCCAATATTTTTATCAATAGCGACAAGGAGAGGAAACCCAAAAAATCTAACTAAATGAATATTCTACATGCTCAATCAACGATAAACCTACATACAGTACTCTCATACTTACTGCCAATACTGCCAGTTTGACGATGATAGTGCTGATGGAAATGCCTCACAGGACAACTTATATTCGCTTCGGAACAGCTACAAATGTACGAAATGGGTTCTCACTGACCTGCCAAGTGCCCAAACCTATGGTTGGTATGTTTTTTCCACCAGTCATTTCCAAAGAAATCTTGGCTTCCATGATTCCAGGATTCAAGTCAAATTTGTTTTCAACCTAACAGATCACCCTCTAACAATATATACAATGGTAGATGTGTTCACCTGAATGATGAAAAAGTGAACAATTAGTATCTCATTTATTTCATTATATCAAATGATATTATCTGGATTTGATGGATAGGTATAATATGTAAGATAAACTTGTATATAAATTGCATCATTATGTAATTAAATGGCGTATTATCAGGGTCGGAATGAGTCGGTATCAGCCGCAGTTGCGAAATAGTAATTTAGGTAACAAGTCCGGCAAATACTTTCTCTTTGGACTGGTAGACAAAATTCTAGTAATCTATGGTAAGAGTTCATGGTATCTCAAAGTGGAGTGAATAGTTTCATAAACGAGACACACTAGGTCAAATTTATTAACTGAATGATCAGTGTCTGAACATGTTTCGGACTATCAATAGTCCATCATCAGCGGAAGCATATTTTGAATGGCAATTTCTACAAAGAACAGTTTTTTATAGAGTGACAATAATATTATACCCTAAAAAAGGAGAAGGCAACAATAATATTACATGGTACAATCTACATTATTACAAATATATAAATAATGAAGAGCAAATTGCCCATGGCCCCAAAGAGAGTCGAACCGTAGGCAAGTCCTCGAAATCTGCGAGTCCATAAATACTATTCACTATTCTTTCATATTTCCTCAATTATCATTGGAAAATATACAACTCACTACTGCATGGTGATTTGAATTTACTCTCAGAAAAATTTAGAACACTCTGAGACCAAACCAATAATCGAATTTGGATTTCTTGTTCATGAAAGATCTGATTCAGTTCTCCTGTCTTACAATTGTTATTGGAAACCTATTTCCTTGAGCCTTAAGCCGACACTGTGAGTCTATCTATTGAATTACTCCAATCCCAAGTACCTATCATTATATAAACAGTGATTTTGGACTACAGTATTGATTTCAGATATACTTCTGATGAGTACTTGCATTAATGTATTACATAATCGCACATGAATGATTTTATTTTTCATTAGAGAGCCCTGATGATTTGTCGCACGAGAGGGAAAAACTACTCTCATTTATAATCTCCCTAGCAGCAGAATTATAGCCGATAATAGACGAGGAACATTTTTTATCAACAAAAACATACCGAGAAAATATTATCGGAAATTAATTCAGCAGCGTGGGAAATTCGGTAAGAGAATTTCATGAATTGGAGTTGCTTTTGATATGATGAACCCTACGACCGTTGCTGCGTGGATGTCAAATAAAATTTGACACTTAGGTATAGCTCGTTTGTATAACTAAGATGTGAGAGACATTATAACTAATTTGTTGAATACTGTCTGTAGGTTGATCGAGGAGGTAGTGCCCACAAATGTCACTGCGTTCAAAGAATTTTTGTATCAGAGAGCCTGAAAGAAAAAATCACTAGCTTGTCAGTGACAATTTGTATTTAAAAAGGTTTGGAGAAGAGGAAGAAAGGTATATAGAAATAATATCAAATTCTCACTCATCTTTGGACGTTTCGAGAAAGAATCTGCTCCCGTTTTCACCATAAAAAAAGAATTGTTTGTATGGCAAATTCGTCTTTGTATTGAAACTTCTCAGTGACAATGGGCTTATATCACAAAAAAAATTTATTTCATAATTCGATAGAACTCACCCAAACTAGCTCACCTCCGCAGACCGTTTCTTGCTGTGAGCTCCCTACGTGTTATAAAAAATTATTGATTGCCCCGATTTTTCGGACCTCTGAAAACAAGGCGATGATGTGACGTCGAAACCCTAATACTGAAACAAGATTATTCCAGACAGAGATGAATGATACATGATTTCTGACAGAGTGAATTAGCGTGAGATCACAGTTGAAAGAATCAATATATCAGTTGCCTCAGTCTCCGTCGGGCGTTTATTATTTTCTTTTAACAAAGGCGAGATGAGGTTTCTACGTCATAAGAGGGTCCGTTTTCAAAAGGTACTATTATTTATGTCCAAAAATGAAACATTCCAGCTGATTCTTCGATCGGATTATGTCGTCAATCATTATTTATGTATAAAAGGATCATTTTAAACATGGTTTGAGTTAATAGTTCTACTAAGGTGTACACGCCCATTGGTGACGTTGATAATCAAATGAGTTACAGGATGTTTTCATCAATTGATCTTGAATTCGGAAAAGAGAAATCAATAAGGTATATTGAAGAAATATCAAATTTTCATAAAAAATGGAATAATTCCTGTGACTGCCTACGTCAACTACTAGGCATCGACATTATCCCACAACTTAGATTTCCGGTTCTGAATTCTAACTCTAGATCCAATCGGGATTGCTATCAAATCTTAGGCATTCAGGTTATAATGTTCAATCACTTCATTGACATACTCCTCTGGAACTTTCTCTTCACATGCATCTATAACAATTCTCTGGAAATTGCCTTGTGATGTGCAGGAACAAAAGAGCGAATATATGGTTTCCAAAGATAACCTGTGCTGGAGGACGATTATTCGATATTGGAGTATTTCTCATATTTCTATATTCTAGTAGACCTGCATAAAATTTCTTTTCGTCGAAACTGCTACCATTCATGCATTTCATAATGAGAGCTTCAACTCCAGCCTCTGCCTGCTCATTATTTTGTGGGTAATATAGTGTGGATGTACAACGAGTAACATTATTCCATTTCATTGAAAATGCAAGAAATTCTTGCGAAGTAAACTGTGGACCAGTATCAGATCGGAATCGCAGATGGGGCGGACAACATAGTATCAGAAAATATTTTTCCTAGATCTTTTATCAATTTCAAATTGAATAGATCTTTATTATTATTTCCGTACGGGCAAACTATTGGCGATCCCGATAATATTTCAATGAACACCATATATCTTTTATCTGATAAGGTTTGTTAATCTGTGCCTGAAGTGCCTTTTCCGCAGGCAAAAACTGACGTGAACTCCGCTTCGGTAGTAGTAGCACAGATTAATGGGTTTGTTAATCTGTGGTAGCAGTACTTTCATGCCGACAAGTATAAGAATCTGCCCACTTGTTGGAAAATAAGTATATTTTCATTGAGAATACGTTAGTCAGTAGTGTCAGTCATCACTTTGGCCAACAATGAATACGCAATCAATGGCGTTAACTTATCGAGGCACCAACGCAAAATATAGGTTCATATTATATAGGAATATTAAGGAGGCCCCATCCTAAATAGTTAATAAAAATAAAACAACGAGCTATTCGAAGTCCATTTCCATAAAAAAAAAACAAGAAACAATAAAAGGCAGCTATATATAATGCAAATTTCATGGTACACTATTGTTAACTCGGAAACGGAGAGAGATGCGAACTACGTTAAATCACGAAAAAAATGCACAATTTCATGACCATTTCAAATATCAAAAGAAATCGAGGACATCCCTCTTATTTCCTGAAATATCCTGAAAAAAACTGAAAATAGTCGATTTTTATTATGATCATTAACTTTCGAACTGTTTTTACTAGAGTTTTGAAATTTGGTACACTTACTGAAGGTCGCATGGCGAATCCAACGGTGATATGAAAAAAATTCTAGGCACACTAGATTCGAAGATATTGAAGCAAATTTTGATTTTTCTAACGGTCGCCATATTGGATTTTTGCACCATCCGATAGATCAAAAAATTACCAATTTATCGATGTATCTCACTTCAATGTTTGATGATGGAATGACGAAAATACAGGAAAAATAGAAAATTAATAATTAAGTTAACGTATAAGATCTGCTATCAAGCTTACAATTTCAGAAATTTTCATTAAACGTAAAAATAATAATATTGAACTCAATTTCTGAGGTGCTCGAAGTGACCCCCTCCATTTTCAAGTGCAGCTCGACTGCAAATGTCATTTGCTGCTCTCCGTATGGTTGCTTCCGGTATTGAATTAATTGTTTGTACAATTTGTTCTCGCAAATCTGCAGCGTCTCCTATTGTTCTGGCATGAACTGTATTTTTCAAATATCCCCATAGGTAATAGTCTAACGGATTTAGATCCGGAGATCTAGCGGGCCAGTGTACTGGACCGTTAGTGCCAATCCACTTCCGTGGAAACATTTGATGCAATGTCTGGGTAACCAATGCTGCATTGTGAGCAGGAGCACCGTCTTGCTGAAACCACATTTGGTGGATCTGATTAATGGGAAATCCATCCAATGAGGGTTCACACTATCTCTCAACAGGTTCCTATAGTTTTCTCCGTTCAGGCGATCTCCAAGAAAAAATGGACCCAGAATTCGACCATTGAAGATGCCACACCAGACATTAACCGAGAATCTTATTTGATGACGTGATTCTTTCTTGAGCTTTGGATTCTCTGTGGACCAATAATGCTCATTGTGACGATTGAAAAGGCCATTATTTGTAAAAAGGCACTCATCTGACCACAGCACTTTCAATGGAAAATTTACATCATTGTTCACCCTATTCTGTAACCATTCACAAAAAAAGGATCGCCTGGCAAAATCTTCTCGACTGATTCCTTGTACTTCATGATAATGATAAGGGTGGAATTTTTGCTTTTTGAGTATTCTACTAGCTGTAGATTGATGGACATTACACTGCCTTGCAATAAATAGCATAAGTTGATATGTTTGGATTAATGTGCACTTGTGCTATGATATTTATAACGTTAAGATTCAACCCTCTTCTCATTCCATACCTAGGTGAATCAGAAAGTTATTTATGGAAGAATACAAAAATGTTAATACATATATATTCACCTTGAACGCCTTGTTGCAAAAGTTCCATCTAGTCTGATCTTCTGTGCAATCCTTTGGAAATAATTTCGCGAAGGCTGAATCCGTTCAGGGTATAAATTTTCATACATTTCACTAGCTCGCGTCGAATTTCGAAAGCAGCGAATGTAAACATCATACATATCACTCCTTTCTTCAATGCTGTAAACATTCACCATCTCAATTTGGTTTCAGTAGAGATGTGAACAATTATAATTTTCAAATTCTCAGAATGACAGATGCATTTTTAATGTTCTAATATCCAGAACTGAAAACTGGAC